AATTTTGTAGGAGCCCAATTAAAGCCCAAAAATATTTTCTAGGCCTAAAACGCGCCCAATTCAAGCCCAAAAATATTTTAAAAATCTAGAAAAGAAAAAAAAATTTTATAAAAACTTATCATCACATTAACTTTCGGTGCTACAAATTTATATTTGTAATAATTTATTGTCATTATTGTCGAACATGATCTTAGAAAATGGGCTTGAATTGGGCGTGTTTTAAGCCTGCAAAATAGTTTTAGGCTTGATTTGGGAACGTTGTGGGCCTGGAAAAGAATTGTGGACTTGAATTGGGCGCGTTGAGAGCCTGAAAAATCATTTGGGCTTGAATTGGGTCTCCTTTAGGCGCGCCCAAAAACTGATCATTTTTACTCGGGTATCAAATAATCTGTGATGTTATATAATTAGTTTACAAGTAACGAAAGCTTTTACTGCTTCATAAAATTTACATCTCAAAGAGCCAATTAAATCAAAAGAATTCTTTGAAAAATCTCATTCCATAATTTTTGTCATAATCAACTTTGAAAAATTCTCATAACTTTATGCTTTAAGAAGCATAGGAATAATTATAAGCTTGAAAAGTTTCAGAAATGAACAATACAATTGTAAAATATGTTTTTAATATAATAGTAATTATTTAATTACAAAATAAAATCTAAAAAAAGACCAAGTTAATAGAGAATTCATTAATACTAATTGTGTATAGAATTAATAAAAAAGATAAATTTCCATGAAAATCTACTCTGCTCACAATATTACATTTTTATAATTATTTTTATCTTGGAAAAAATGAAAAGTAGATTGAATTTCACAAACTGGATTACTTGGATGAAAATTCTTAGAAAACTGATCTTTGTACTATTTTTCTTGTACACCAGCATAAACACAAGAACATTATTACATTGTAGCTAGGTAGGTACATTTTATTGTTCACTATATACTTTTTTGATTGTGATTCCCATTTTCGCAACTGAGTGGGTCGAGGTCAATTGAATATTGTTGATGCAGAACATATATATATGCGGGGACAATTTAAATCTGATTAGAGAAAAAAAGTATAATATTGTAAGTTATCAAGTTTGATTAGAAAAAATATTACATTCGTATATGACATTACAACAAACAATTTCATTATTAGATTGTTAATTATTATAGCCTGAAGCTATATCGATATTATCAAACTTTATTTAATGTGGTAATTTAAATCAATACAAATTAGTATTATCTCCTTGGTAATGATGTTTAGCGATGATTCGACAACGCGAAAAATGAGATAGTGAACAAATTTAACGTTAAAACTACAAATTAATTAATAAAATAATAGAATTTCTTGATAAGATAAGATTGAAATGCCTGAAGGCGTTGAGTGGTGATTAAAAATTTTTTATGGGACTACAATATCATAAATTAATTGTCTACAACCATAAGGAGAGAAACTTTCACACGCTTGTAGTTCTTATGTTCCTTATTTTATACTACTCATTCAATTATTCATTTTTATCATACGCTAACCATTGAATGTTTTTTTTCATATCATTTTACTTTCTTCGATCAATGAATATCAATCTCACGATTCAATAAGCGTTACAGATTCATCATTTACATTTTTTTTTATCTATCAAGTGCACCGACAAAATTTACTTCATCTAAAATTAGAAATAAAAATCATGAATATTTCTACAAAATATTTTTGATCAATTTATTGTCAGCAAATTAATAAAAAAAATTAAATTTTTTTTATAACGATAAAAAAACCGTTACAAATCATGACGAACGGTCATCGTCAATTATTAGTTTATTTATTTTTAATAAATAATATACTTCATAAGTGATTGTTATGATAAGTACAAAATTTATGAGATTATAAAATTGAATATAACAATGATCAACAGAATAATGAATTGGTAGTAATAAAATTTGTGTAAAAGACCTTTAACACTTTTTCATTGACTAAAAATTTTAATCATCAAAAAAATCGGCTTTGATATTACTGTTCGTCAACTCTATTAATACCATATTGATGAGACTTTATCAGAAGAGTTTTTCATCACGAAAAACCTACGTAAAAAAATTTTCTATTCTTCTGTTTCTTTTAAAGAATACGATATTCATTGTTCTCATAAATGCAAGCTATGTACCTCTGTGTTTTCCATGCTTAGGATTTTTCCCCGTGATTTTTATATTCATAGACTCTTCACGGGCTATAAAAATGTTATAAGAAAGTTTTTAAAAAAAAGATGAGTTTTTTTTTTTTTAAATAAAAGTGACAGAATAGAGTTCGAGTTAACTACTAGCTAGATAGTGTTCGTTCCGCACGAATGCATGACTGACCTTGAGAGGAATTATAGTGAATTATTTTATTACAAAAGTACAATACAATACATTCTTTAAGCCTAAAGAAGATTGTAACCAAAATTCAATTAACAATAAGGTCGATAAAAAAATAATGGAATAAGCGGTTGAAGTAAAACTGTTGAAAGAATGACAAGAAGATAGTGAAAACGTCTTCTTTTAGATCATGCTATTGGTTTCGGTAATGGTTTATCTTATTAAAAAAAAATAAGACGTGAATATCTGGTGATTATCAGAGCAAAACGGACGCGCTTACCACCCACAAACTGTTCTTTATCGATAAGAGATTTATAGATCTTTTTATATCAAAGAATTTGATCAAGAATTACAGACTAGGTTGACTACAACAACTATGTTAAAAAGAATCTGAAAAAAATTATTTAGCTAATTCGAACTAATTACTTTAGACAGTGACTAGGTTTGTAAGACATCGCATAGAAAATGATCTAAATTTGTTGGATATCTAAATAATCGTGCGAAAATTTCACAAAACAGGTAAAAAACTTTTCGGTTCACAGAAGATTGAATAACAACTGCATCAGTGTAGAGAGCACTAGATGATTAATTAAAAGTGTGACAAAATTGCTGTATGCTGAAAAAAAATTCTAACAAGAAAACGATACAGAAAAACAAGCAGAGAATTACTGAAAGTCGATCACACCCCAATTCCTCGTTCCCATCTAATTAGTGTACTAATTGCGAATGCTTTTGTTTAGAGAGACGCTCTATTCTATAATTTAGAGAACATGACGGAAATAATGAAGTGGATGAAAAAATAATTATAATGCAATCATTTTGCATCATTTTTCATGCTGATAATTATCTAATAATTAAACTCAACTGTAATGTCATTATAATTGTCATTTGAAAAATCAACAATAATTTTAATCAAGTTATGTTGATGAATAAACAATGATAAATATTTTTCTAATTGAGTAATTTTCTTATTCTTATTCGAAACTAACGTCATAAAATAATTGTTAATTTTGTAAACAAACCCATTAACTCTTTGAATAGCTAATTAACTCAGATAATCTCATATTTACTTAAGAATTCCCCTTACAGGTACGTACGTATGGAGGAGTCCAAGAGCGACTACTTATTAGATCTAAGCTACTTAAATGTCAAGTCGATGTCAGAAGTTGGACTTCTCATCCTACCAAAGACGCCAATATGATGACCAAGATCACCCCGTGATCGAAAATAAAAATTTAGTTCAAACACTTTTCGTGATTTCTATGGTTCCCAATTTCGTCTATATTCACGTTCTCCTTCCATCTAAACCTTGATATTGTCCCCAGTCAAAGCTGAAGATTCAATATCTATTTTGTACCATGTAATGGTCAAGGGAATAGTGCTTAGTTTGTTGGGGTCAATGTATTGAGGAATTGAAAAGGAGTAAGACCACAAAATTTTTATTGTCTCTTTTTTGGAGTAAAAAGATCTAAGCGGGTATATTTAATGATGTAATTATATAATATGCTCTAAAAACTCTAACAATGGGATTATCAAATTAATTGTTTTCCTTCATTATTGATTATTCACCTAATTAAATTCAACTGTAATGTTTGGTAATACTCTTTTTAAAAAATAAAATGTACAGATGAATTATGGTACATAAACGACAGTAGAGTTCTAGTTTTCAAAGCAAATCGAAGAATCATATGTAATAAAGCTAAAAGTTTTTTCATCATCACTTTATCTACACTTTGACAAAATATTATGCCTTCAAACAAGATAATAATAAGTTGATCAATTTTTTATCCATTCTCTATCACTTCTTTCAAGTAAGAACAATAAAAAAATCAACGATAGTTTCATCAGAGAAAATTATATTTAAAATTAAATAAAACCTAGTTAATTAGACACGTTTGACGGTCATTACCTTGTCGCTCGAGTAACTTATTTCATAAAATTAAGGAATAATAACCGTCAGCAGTCATCACGCAACTTATGTTCCTACTACTATGAATTACATGCACATTCGTCATTGGGTCAACGACCATTATGCGTAACTGTGCTTTCTATTATTATTATTATTGGTATAAATGTTCCAGTCAGGTTATCCCAGAGCTCCGACACACCTGGGGCTTGACGAAGCTCAGTTATACTATGCCAACATGGTTCCCTCAGGCGTGAGGGTGAATCAGGACTGCAGTTATGTGTCCTAACTTATATTAACTTAAAGGTGTAGAGGAAGTAAACGATGATCGCTTTCCGAATTTCAGTTGCTAGGAACTCTGCTTTCAGCACACCAATATTGTTTACAGCTCAGTGAAGAAACGATCTTTCAATCGAGGACGTTACTAACCAGGACTACCACATGATCAGTCCATAGAAACACTTCTTCATGACCTTCATGGACTCTCGGTCGTGCTCATATTTCAAACTTTTTGATATAAATAACCAAACTGCTTTGAAAGTAATGATAAAATATTCAATTCAACTAAACACTTTCTGCTATATAAAATGGAATATTATTTTTTCTGCATGAAGTATAAACTAAAAGTTTTGGATGATTACTTTTGGTAATAGAGTAATAAACTGGGATAAAATCAATGTAATTGATCAACTTGATGCTTCCATGTACAGTTGTGATATATTTTCCTTCAGAAGTTTATTTGAAAAAAAAAACTCAAAAAACTTACCTAAAAGTTCGCTGAGTAGTTTTCATGTTTGTTAAGTAAACGTTCCTCGATAATATTTATATAAAATCCTCTTTAGAGTCACTAGAAATCTTGAACAATTACTTGAAAATTATTACAATCAAGCACTAATAATAAAAACACTTTCTCACTTATAGATTTTTTAATCAGCTGATAGTTCATCATTGTCAGTGGGAATATCCATATTTCATCAACTTGAACTTATTGAATAAAAATAAATAATTCGTACAAACATTTAATGAGTATAATGACTGTCACATGTATACTAAGCCACTTCAGTAGCGTATCTTTGTGCTATTTACTTAACTGAACTTTTTGCAGTCTTTTTTTATGATTTAAAGAACCCCTTGCCTACACACTCTATTGTTAAAGACACGTGCGTATAGAATCATCTTATTTATTTTGTCCGTTGATCCTTTATATTGAAACTCTCTACTTGACTTCTTACAGGCAGGTGCAAAATGGGGTTTGTCTGCACGAGCCTATTTGCACGTCAGGCTGAGTTTTTACCACATATATACACTTAAAACACATACAAGAATTGAGTAAAAAGTTGAAATAAAAATTTTAAAAATAATATCTTAATTACAAGAATAATGTCTTAAATTTTCGCTTTGTTAATTGATTAAATGTTGATAAGATTAATATAATAAAGTCTGATTTTTTAACTTTTTTATTCTTGACTTCCTCTTACCTCAAAGCGATTTCAAAATGAGGTTTTTACCCAAAGCTGAATCAACAGCATGAGCAACGAAACAGTCTACTACCAGCCAGACTACTCTACGGAGACAGAGAGAAAGATGAGGTGTGTAAGAGACGATTGCGGGCACCACACACGCAAGGGAAAAAAGAACCAGGACAGACGGGGCGTAGGAGCGGACAGTACGATAGACTTACACCGAGTGGGTCCCGTTCGTTCGGAGGAGAGTGGCTTATTCCAGCCAAGCACGGTTGAGGAAGTACTGTTACTTAGAGACGAGGCCTTCGGGGTAAAAGGATGCAGATGGGTTGCATATATGTGTATATAAAATATATATATATGAATATATATTTAATAGTATATTTATATAATATATTAACGTAAAACTAATCACTAAATCCACTTTTTTCACTATTTACATGGTGAAAAATATTGGAAAATTCACTCCTCATTAGTGACATGCTTTAGCATTAAGTCTAGAGCTTATAACTCTTTTTCTTCAGTTCATTTTTTGTACAAAAAAACTTTTTGTGTCAATTTATTTTTCGATTTAAAAAATAAACGAGTTCAGCAACGCTAATAAAAAACTATGTTGCCTAAGCGACTTACACGACTCGACTGACTGCGGCCTGCGGATTCTAACCGCCTTCGTATACCGGCGACTGCTCTCGGCTCTTTTGTGACTCTTTCTCCCCACCCTTTGGTTGTTCTCATGCTGCGCAACCTGGGATTCTCCCTCAGGTGAGGACCGCGTGTACACACTCGACTACAAATACACTCATATGCTGCATATAAATATACAACACTCAAGCACGTTTGATTCCTTATAACATAAGCGCCCTCTACTTTTTCTTTCTCGTGTGCACGTGTGACCAGTGACGCCGGTAACCGGTTCCCAATATTTTTCTTCCCTAAAATTGCATGCATATTCTTTACATTTTTTACCCGTTTTTTCTTTAAAAATTATTTTATATTTGTTTATTTTTTAGTAACAATCAATTTCTACCACTTTTACTTATATTGGAACGCAGAGACCGACGATACCAACAACATGGAGCGCTGGCATAACACATGTTTAACACATTATTAATTTTACATTCAATTTTTAATTTGATGTTATTGTAAAATATAGAGTTTTTTACTGACGAAAATGGACTAAAATAAGCCGTTAAAAACTTATATCGCATTACCTTTTAAATAATATCGTCATAAAATGAAAATATCTACCTTTTGACCAAAAATACTTGAAAAACAAAGTTCTATAACTGGTATTTTTTTCTACTTTCAACAAGATATTGTAGTTTTTTTTAAATAAGTTAAATCTTAAGTAAAATTAAATAAAATAAATATTTAATATGATAAAAACTTTACAGTTGTTAAAGTAAACCTCGTTAGCAGTACTCAGCCCATAAATTTATGATTCTTTGAATCGAATAAGAAAATTTTTCTACAATTTTTCACTGGCTTTTTTTGAAAACTTGTTAATTAATTTAAAAATAAATCTCACTCTATTTCATTAAATAATTAAAGTTATATTTGTGCTGATAAATTTAAAAGGTATTCAACTAGAAGTTAAAAGTTTTTGAAAATACCTGAAAAGAGCTCAATGCTTTTTAGCCGTCAGTTCATAGAAAGAGAATAAAACTTGAGTGAAATAGAAAAGAAAGAAAAGTTCAAAAAGGCTTTTTCAAGATTGCAAAATAATTTTTTTGCTATTTGTATTCCTGAAAGTAAATACTTTTCTTCGCTCAGTATGTTCTGTCAGATTTGTGGAGTCAGAATATGTATTCCTTTCTGAATGAAGAAGGTTGATAAAAAAAGAAAAACTCATTGAAAATATAATTCACTTACCTGTCAACTAGTGAGATCTCAGACCATTTCAGATTTATAACATCCGTTCTCACTCCTGTTCGCTGCTAATCAGAAGACACGTTTACTGTAGTAGTGTCTCGTGCGCCAAGTTTAAATGACGGTGACGAAGGCACTACCGTCAGAGAAAAGAGATAATATATAGAAGAACCATCCCAATGAGAGCTGTTGGACGGCAATTTTTACCTGCTGTTATACGGCTGGGGATACAAAGCTAATGCTAAAATACCATATGTATCCCCAAGAAATCGTCCAACGGATCCCTATGCGGTGGTTCTTTTATATTATTTCTTTTCTCTGCTACCGTGTCTCTATTCTGCTTGAACCACAGTCTGTTGAGGTTATGCATTTTTAAAATTGCAATTTCTTTCTCATAATGACTAAAACATGCCATAAAAACTTCAGAAAACCTTATTAATTTCTTTTAGTAATAGATTAGGCATTCTATTGTCTTTCACAATAAATTATTTTAAATAATAAATAATTGGCCACGCCCCTTTATACAAGATTTGAAAAAAATAGAGATTTATTTTTTTTAAATATGCGACTTTTTTTTCTAAAGTTGGTACCATTATGAAGTTGCTATAGTACAGTAATAGAAATGTACAGATTATAAAGGCGCCAATTATAAAATAAATTAATTATCCAGATGTAGGGATGGGCGATATTGAAAAAAAAATATCGATATCCGACAATCGATATTTCTCATCAATGGTTATCGATGTATCGATATTTTTTAAAAAATATCGATATATCGATATCAAAGTCATAAGCGGCATAATTTAAATTGAAGATTTTAGTGACCTCCGGTGGAGCTCTAAAAAAGATATTTAATTGTTTTTAAAGTTGATTTGAAAGTTTTAGGGAATTAGTTCAATCATCTTTTCGTTTGTTAATTATAATTAATTAGGATAATGAACTGTTATGCTTCAAGTACTTGAATTCTATTCATAAGTTTTATTATTGGATTATATCTGTAGATTTACTATGTAAAATTATTGTTATATTTATACATCACTTACAATAATCCTTCATAACCTAACTTTCTCAATTTTTGTTGTTTTTAATCTTTTTGATATTATTTGCAGAACCCTCGTCAGAAATAACATTTAGTTTACATTTTTCAATCAATCATGAATCTTCGTGGATCTTCTTGATATAGAGTTTCTAACCCTCTATCATCTTTATCTATACTGAACATGATGGTTTTTCACTTTTTTTAATAATAAATTAATTAATAAATAATTAATAAACGCGTGAGACTTGATATTGAACTTGTGACTACTAATGGCTTTTGGTTAGTTATTTAAAATACCACGAGAGGTCTCTACATGGTCGATATTACGAGAAAAAATATCGACCATCGATGTATCGTCTATGAAAAATATCGAATAAAAAGACTCGATATTAGAAAAAATTTATCGATATTTCGATAAATCGACAAATATCGCCCATCCTTATCCAGATGTTATAATAATGATAATGAAAAATAATAGTATATCCTGATAAATAGTAATTAATAATAAATAAAGATGACACTATGGTCGAAATAATAATGTAATTAATTAATGATAAACTATTCGATGATATAATAAGTAAATAGAAATTATATCTGTCTTTGATTATTTATATATAAATAATAACTTGTTTATAAATAAATGCTCATAACTCGCGAACAGTAAAAGATAAAGCAAAAATAATGAAATTTTGAGGGCGTACACATGGGGGGATCGTACTTTTTATTCTCAACCCCATGAAACATCCATATTTAATTGATTGCTAATAATTAGCGATTAAATAAACAACTTATTTCTATTAACGACTTGACAAACAATAGAAATGAGATCACTTGCATATTGTTTATTTACAAAAATACCACTTTTTTATAAAAAAATGCTCATATCTCGAAAACGGTGAAAAATAAAGCAGAAATAACGGAATTTTCACGGCATATCTGTAGGGTGATTATACTTTTGACCAATTATACTGTGACAGTTACCAGGTGTCGTACAAAAAAAGTAAAATCACAGCAAAGACAGCCTTACAGACTGTAAAAAATTGTGCACCAAATTCAAATGACGAGGTCGATAATCTTTGTTCTTTAAATGCTATTTTCTGTAAATATGCATAATTCACAAAATTACAAAAAGTCAATCAAAGATAATTTTTCATAATCAAAAATATACAAGAATAAACTAGAGAAAAAAAAGGAAATGTAGAATATATTGCATGAAAAATTTAATCACTTAAAAAAATTCACATAAAAAAAAATTTTATCGTTTTAATTACAATTTATATTTTGTACAATATACAATATATATCATTTGATACACCAAAAACTTGGCGTGGCTATTACAGCGCATCTATATCAGTGAGGCTATAGATACGAAAATAGTGTGTAACGTTAAAATGATTAAATACAATAATTCTTCCCAATGGATGAAAAAACGTTTTTGGTCAAATATTATTACAACTCCTCATCCATGCTTGTCAGCAACGTGATCTACAAAACTTCAATTCTAAAATCTTCAATATAAAACGTTATCGGTTTAAAAAAAAGAAAGATGTTTAAACTATTCTCAGATTATCTTTATTTTGTGATAGAATTATAAATAAATTGCTTAGATTGGGAATAAATATTGAAGCTAGACCAGATCTTAGAACTGCTTAATGAACTAATTGAGAAACCATTATCAACTATGTACATATTCTAGATAAGCTCAACCTTCTCATAGAGTATGACCTCGAAGAAACATATTACATGTCGAGAGGATAAAGGGATTAGAGGATGGAGATTGAAGACACTGGATTCCAGTACCAATTGAAGCTTATAATCCGTCGTTATTTATTACTTCTATACTAAATGTTATATGCATATTAATTACAAATTTGCATATAAATTAATGCGTCATGTTTATTTCAATAAATAAAATATTGAGCGTTGATTCTATTAAGTAGTCGAACAACACACAGCAGTATATTTTTCCAGAATCATTACAAAAATCTGTCTTATCTATTCTGGTCAGTAAAGTAGAACTGTCTTTATCAACAGTATTGAATTGGTATAGTAACGTCATCTCACGAATAACCTTGCCAATATTTATCAATTGTTTATTTTGATCCAATTTTTAAAAAAATATTTTGATGAAATAATTGAATTGTTTTACAGAATAATTGTTCAGATACCACATAATCATCAGTTTTTTGCGAAAATTCGTTGGACGACAAAATTTGGACATAATTAATTCATTTAATAAGCTTTAAATGTATTGAATTGACAGATTGCTCCGGGGTTAATTTAATGACGAAGTCTAAGAGTAGATTTCAATACTTAAATTCAACAAAAGAATAAATAAAATAGATCTATCAAATATAAAAATATTAAAAGATTGTATTTCACTTAATGTTTAGTATATTATTGAACACGCTATCGATTTATGATCACATTGAAACTCATATAACTTTTTTTGCCTTTTAAATATGAAATAAGTAATTTACTGATGATCAATTATTGATTTTTATCATAGGTATAACATCTGCACTACAAACTTGTTACTTTGACAATATATTACAGTTATATATATATATATATATATATACGCCTATATATCTTTATCGCCTCCGCGTTTTGGAGTAAAATTATTTCATTTTTTTCAAAAAAATGAATCTACTTTTTTCGAAAAAAAAGTAGGTATCATAAACTTTAAATTGTATGCTGTCCGATGCAGAAATATATTTGTTCTTACAACACAAGCGCACACTTACAATTACTATTGATAACACTAGAACACTGTATAAAGAATTTAAGCGCACAAAAATTTACACGAGAACGAATTAATTTGCTGAATTGATTGATCTACATAATATCATGCACAATATGTTTGTTTTTTATGCTTTATATTTGTTCTTGTCACATAATATAAAATCACTCATTTATTTTTATTGCCTAAATATAAATACATCAATTTATAATAATATATTATATATTTGCAGTACGTTAAGGAAGACATATTTAAACTTTTTAGAATATAAGAATATTAATTATCAAAAATTACTCATTAAAATAATTAAATATAAGTATGAATAAGTAATCACACAGTACATTAATATACAAATACATGAAATAAGAAACATTTTTCCTCGCTTCCTACCTAAGGGACGGTTTATCATCCTTTTATTTTTATTGCTTATTTCATAAAATATTTCTATCAGAGTGTCAATAAGTTATGTAAAAACTGTGTGGAAAATCAAATGATTATTAAATGAAACTTGAGTAGATTGTATGGGCCATTTGTATCAGATAATTTTTTGAGGAATGTGACATGAAATTATGATATGTTAAATTATATATCACATTGTTTTTATTACACTTTAATATTAATTTGTCAATGTTTCAACAAATGAAGTGATAATACAATAAAATATTATTTGAGTAGCAAGGGAGTTGAACTTGAATTCCGAAATTTACATGTCAAACTTCTTTGAGAATGTTAAAGACGTCTTCTAGATAAACTTAATATATCGATAAACTCGATCGTGTTAGGAACTTCAGCTGGGAAGATCGGCGCAAGAGATTCCTTAAGTTTATGAACCATAAGAAATCAAGATTAACCTATCTCTTTAGAAAGATGGATAAAAACAACGATGGTCTTCTTCTAAAAGAAGATTTTATCCAAGGCATTATGAATATAAGTAAGCATTTAAAATTAAGAATTAAACTAATTCATAGATCTATAAACAGAAACATTTGCTAAATGAATTATGTCACCTTTCAAAGTTCGATATCTCACGTTTGAAGATAAATGCTGTAGCCGATTGGTTTGATCGTCACGGTGAAGATTTGATTGATTGGAAAGAATTTATTGCAGCTCTTTGACCAGATTGGGAAGAAAGAAGAACTTATGATAATACTGATAACATTCATGATAAAGTCAAACGTCTCGTTACGTAAGAAAAAAACATTTTCAATCACAATTTTCCGGTAGAAAATAGTTGACGAAAAGATTACTTTGTTATCAAGTTAAAACGATCCCTTCCTTCGCAAGATGGCTAAAAAATTTTAACTTAACTTAAGTTACTTTTGAGTTTCAAAATCAATTAATTTTCGGTAAAATAAAATTGATTCAAGTTTTTAATTATTATATTGATACAGTATTGAGTTATGTACATACATTGAAACAGGAATGAGCTACGTTTTCAGAGTCAAAGTCGAACAATATTAATTGGTATCAATTTCTATGACATCGAAGTTATCACATGTGTAATATGATAACAGAACCACGTGGTTTCGAAAGATTATAAATTTCACAAAAAGAATACGTAATAAGATATATTACAATATATTTATTACTTTTTTAAAAAATGTATTTTGATCTTCATTTTTTATGGAATACAAAAATACAAAATAATAATACTCTGTAGTATAAAAATTATCTTTCTTAAAACAAACATTGCTACAATAAACGATATTCCAGTTTCTCTAAAAATATCAAGTTGTAATAAACGGGCAAAGGAATGGGATTTTCTGACCAAGTATTTTAAATTTGTCGGTAAAGTGGACTAACGTGAGTTATTGTTAAGCCTTTGTGAGTAATCCTAAGGTACCTGTGCATTATTTTTAAAATCTGAGGTTTTATGGCTCACAGGCCTACCGTGGGCAATCGGTGCATTACCACATGGAAATCCGTGCGGTAACGTAGTAGCAGAGAAAATAGACCTGCATAAAAGTTCAATGCTGTGTTCTGTTCAGGGATCACTCCAGGCCACCCCAACCGTGTTAAACTCCTACCTGGCTCCATAAGAACCCATACTAAATTTTTGGGCCACATCGGCCCATTTGAAATGAACTTCTATTCACATCTTTTTTCTCTGGTAGTAGTTACCACGCACGTGCGACGGAAAATGAATATAAACTTTCCATTACCTCTATTGTCAAGAAACATTTGTTAAAAATTATCTAAAATTTTATTTTCGCAATATTTTTGAAAATAATATTTTAAAATATGTACTCTTAGTCCAGTCAAACGAGGGAAATGGGATAATTTTCATTTGCAAAGGCCAAACTAATAATTTATAGATCACTAGAATCGAAATTTCGATAATTAATTACTTAAATCGCTCTAATATCCGTAAAATGCACCTATCAGCCTGGCTTTTGGCTCAAAATGTGCAGAATCGAAAATTAAACAATTTACTTATAAAATATTCTGCACGATCTTTTGGCTGTCGTAAGTTAGCCAGGTTTTAATATTTGGGGCTTCGACGGCGCTTTTTCTCTTGTGGTGCCGTTGGGAGCAACAGAGAGCAATGGATATCTCTCTGTTTCACTCGCACTCACACAAAACTTCTGTACACGCGCCGAGTATTAAATAGCATGAGTGCGTTGTATTATAAATATCAGCTGGATTGGAAAAAATTTTCACTTTCTGGTGGAAACTTACACACTCGAATTAGATGGGAAATTTGAGAAAATATGCCAAGAACTTATGCAATGCCAAGGATATCTGTCTCCAATGTATAAAAGTATAACTTTCTTCCAACAAGGACTAAATATATTATGTATTGTTAGTGGATATTTCTAGATACTTGACAATATCATCTTGTGCTAATTCTACAGATAATGCTGAAGTCAGTCGCAATGCTCAATCATAGAATGGAGGCATGTAAAAATGAGTTGCTGGAGATCTTGGACCATGAGCTTTATCGTCATATTTGGATAAAAGAGAATTGATACTTCCATGACGAGCACAACCTAATCCTTTTTGTGGTCATGATTTTCTTCCACTTCCTTTTATTAGTTCAGCCCTATTTTCTACATGGGCAAAGTTTTATGAAAAGAGCTATGCTGTAGAATTTAAAGTTTTAATTATAATTTTATTTTAAATGAACTAACTTTATAAATATAGTAATAGTATATTTTAATGAAGATTTAGGATAAAATTACTAACACCAAATTTATACGTTCGTTGCCATCTCACATTACTCCATAAAAGATCAGGTCGAGGTCTTGCCGCAAATATTTCCGGGTGTAGGGTCATTATTCCTAGTTTTTTTTTAAATTGAGATAAATGTTATCTATCCAAACTTGCTTTTTTTGATATATAAAGATTCTTAAGAATTTGAATGTATATGAATCTGAAGTAATTCAAATATAATAAATAAATATTATAAGTATAAACAATTGAATAAATAAACAATTTTATTACTTCATTTTTCAGATAAAATTATAATTTTATTTGACTACATCTAATAATAGAAGTTAATATTATAATTGACAAATGAGTATATACAGTTGGACAAGAGATAAGCATAATAACACTACACTTTGTCAGCAACGTATTTGGTTCGTAATTTTTTATTTTTTCTGAATCAATTACGTAGACAATTGTAATTGTAATGAATTTACATATATTGAATGTTATTTATAATAATCTTTGTCGTAATTTCGATACGATTTATATCACTTAAGATAGTGTTTCTCTTTTTTTTTACTTATTTATAACATTAAGGTCTTACCAATTTACTCTAATGATACCAATTTCACTGATAAGTTCCAACTTGTGTTAATGACGCCAATATCTGTTTTGTTTTTTTTAATTACTTACATTACAATCACATCATATTTATAACGTTTTCTACATACAGAGAGAATTTTTTTACTAAATGTAAATGCAAAAATGACAAGTGCACATTTCGAAGTTTAGAAATAAAAAAATTTCTGTTTAACTATTTTTTACTATCGAATAGAAATACTTTTACTTCTAAATTTCGAAACGTACACTTGTCATTTTTTCCCTTATATTTAGTGAAAAATTCTCTCCGTGTACATTAATAATTTTCTAATTTTAAGATTTACTATCTTATTTTTTTAAGATAGCATTATTTCACTAATATACATTCGGCTCACATAATTATTAATTTTTAATTTTCAAGTAAATTCTTATGACATTTTCTTAGTTACGTTGTTATAATCATTAAAATTGAACATAAAAAAATTTTCAATATCTACAGTACTTAAATTTTCTAAATAAGATAACTTAGTGCCTAAGATGAAAAGCAAATACTTATTTAGTTATAGCTATGGAGTTGCACATAGCATGACTCATTTTACCTGACACTGTTGCATTTCTATCCTGAAAATGCATTACCTTTACCATTCAACCACTACAAATGAGGGAAAACCCAACTCGGCAAGCAAACATCCTAAACGGCTTTTTGGAGCCTCGTTTCTTCATTGTTCTCCAAAAATTAGCTATTTCAAGGTAAAAGTTGGCCCGGACAAATTCAGGTACATAGGGCTAAATATCTCCATCCCCACTTTAGTGCAAATGACCAAGAAGATGTTTCATTATTTTGCCTAAAAGTTTTTCATTCCCGTTTCAACTTTTGCTTGAGCAACAACTGAAAATTAGTGACATTACTGAGTGCATTATCAGTGTATCATATATCGGGTAGATTTTGTTCTAATATTATACGCATATTGTTCATAACATACACAAACGATAAGTGTCAAAGTTTAGTGTGTGCTTTTTTTGTATTATTTTGTGCAAAAGTGCAACAAAAATGGGAGAGTTCAGAGGTTTAAACCCCACGGTAATCTTTCGAATCATGAATCAAAGATTCTTTTGGGGATACAATTCGATAGAAATATATAGAGCTTGTAACATTTTAGAAGCATTTTTGGATTCTAAGAAAAATGAATTAAGAAAATTGACTAATGATAAGAGCAAGACACCTTTTAATAGTACAATTCACACAGCTCGTGCAATATTAGACCGCAAATTAAAGATTAACTTTCGTGCGAGTGATTTTGGCTGTCCTGAAAAAATTATGGATATGATTTCCGATTTTAAATTCATGGTTAAAACTTTGCTCAAAAGTGATGGCAGGATAATATCAGAAAATGGGTTTAATTATACTTTATTTGATGCAGCTATAGTAACCGGATACCCAGATATTGTAAAAACCTTCCTCAAGTATAATTTTAAAATCAATTCCATGTATAATACTCCATTCCATCGGCATTGTTTAGCGTTGAATCGTGCAGCTCAATCCGGTCAAGAAAATATGGTGACTTTATTGATAAACTATGGAGCCGATATAAACAGAAAAGATTTTCATAATAAAACTGCACTCTTCTATGCAATTCAGGCTAATCATGTGTATACCACTCTGAAACTGTTAAACCATAACGCCAAAATTGATGATCCAGATTTACTCACAGCCGGTATTATCAACCTATCTGATGGTATAGTGAGACTTCTGCTCGAACGTGGTGTTCCTGTGAATCAACCCGACTTATGTGGACGAGTTCCTCTTCATTTTGTGAGTAACAGCAATAAACAATTTATCGATCGCGATTTTGAGCGAGCCCAAATAGCAAGAGCAATCATCGATTCCGGCGCTTTCGTCAACGCTAAAACTAGAAGTGGAATCACGCCTCTGCATGCAGCTGTTCTTCAAGGATTTTATCGGATTGCTGAAGTTCTTCTAACCAATGGTGCTGAGGTCGATGAATTTGTGTCTATGCACAGAACGGCACTTTTCTATGCTGCGTACAATACTCATCCTGAAGTTGTGAAATTATTATTAATGTATGGTGCTGACATTAACATATTAGATGATGTAGGAAAATCTGCACTAGACATGGCCAATGATTCAGGAACAGGCCGATATGCAATAGTTTGTAATAAATATAAATTAAGTGTTAATATAAAATTAAAATCCAACATTTTATTGCAAATTGAAGCAGATGAATCAGATTTTCATGATGATGACGAGATGAATTATACATACCGCAGGATGTATACTAGCTCATGTGCTAATAATCGTGAAGAAACTATTAAAACTCTCCAGAAACACATTATAAAGATGATCACTGCAGGAATGTTTGTACGCAAGGATATCAAGTGTAAGGTCAACATGGTCGAAATGGAATCGTTTCAGAATATGTGTTACAATGAGTTAAAAATGATAAAAACCATACCACTAGTTAATCATCTAACTGGTTTTGATATCATGAGAATGCGCCTCACCGAATTGATCTCCTATATCAAAAACCCAGATATACGGGATGTCTTAAAGCAGTATCACTACTCCAAGTTATTTCCTCTTTATGGAATAATTATTCATGCTCAAATTCAGAAGGCAATAAGGAGGCAAAAAAAAATTCTAAAGCCTTACGATTCATTTGGACCTTCACTCAATCTTCCAGGTTATCCTACTCGTAATTGTTTTTCAAATACAACAAAAAAAAAAAATTATGTAAAATACTGTTAATTTATTTATTATATCATTCTCATCATACCAACAGTGTATTTTTTTCATTTCAATGTTTCTTTTTTTGATACAAAAATGAATTACATTATACGTTAGTTGTAAATATAATGAATTTTGTAATTTATATACCTATTGTCTGTAATGATTACATGTCATTGTAAGTTTTGTACTGTAACCAATCTTGTATTTCAAAATTTTGCACATCATTAATAAATATTAATCATCATCTAAAAATATTTCCTTTATAAATCCTATAATCTCCTATTTATAATATTAGTCTTAGTTGAATATGTTTTTATTTATTTTTTCAGTAGATACGTAGATAGATAGGTTTAAATGTTAGGATACAACTATTGCTCATTTAACCGAAAACTTGTACTAATACTTTCTATACTGTTCATAAGATTAAAATATAAATAATCTTTAATAATCATAGTTTTTGTAAATTTAAAAATTTTTGCTCTACTTTTCTTCATAGTTTGGGATTAAAATCCGTAACAGAGGTCAACATTGGACTTATATTTTGCGCCTAAACATGAGAAATATGGAAATTTGTGATTCTTTGAAGTACTAAATAAAACTTTATTTGACGTTAGATTTAAACCTACCTTTAGAATTTTTATTTTTTAATATTGGAAAAAGAAAGATTTAAATGACGTTTAATATTTCAACTCGGACAAATTTTTTTCAAATTTCGATGGACTAATTTTTTAAAATAGATCTACATTCTGAATTAGCTTTTTTTTATATATACATGATTAATTTTTATAATCTATGAAAATAATCAGTTGAACTAATGGTGTTTTATTGATGCTCATTGATTTCAAATAACCATCGACGATGCTTTGAATGCATAATTTAATATAACTTTATTTGTAAATGTAAACGTTTGTAATATGATTATCTTAGTCACCGCAGTAATATTCACGAATGAGCCATCTGTCACGATCAATTTACTGTTTGTTTCGTTCAGAAGATGATATGCTGTGTAATTGATTGTTGCAATGCCAACTTGAGCGTAGTTATCTAACGAATTCCGGAGTCGACAAGTGAGAGGAGCTCCTAGAATCTCCTGAAATCAATTTCAAAATGTATAAAAAACTTCAACACCAAGTTTTGTATTAAAAATAAAAAAAAACTTTACATAATGTAAAATTTGCTTACAACAAATTTATTTAGCACATGTCTAGACACCATTTTACTGAATGAATCTTTTTGATAATCATCTTGAATTCTATATTTATCAGTTTTCGTAGAAGAAAGTGAAAAAGGTATCTTCAAAAGTCCTAAAAGTTATATTATTAATACAAGCAAATGTCAAAATTTATATCTCTTTAATTATTTTACCATATCTATAACGTGCAGTAGATGATCTTTCCCATCGAATGAAAAAGCAGTCATTGTAATTTATGATACTAGATTTTTGAACAAGATTTAATGGCCGAGTTCGACCATTTTCTCTATATGGTGATACAATAAATATTGCATAAAAATTTTCAATTTTTTCGGACTTTTCTATATCTTGTTGATATATCACTCTAAATACTGGTTTATAATTACAACGAAAATTAGCAGTTTTCAAAGTTTTTCGTTTACAATTGGTAAAAACCACTAAGCTCCTCGTGGGTCGTCTACAATAATCATGTAAAATACTAAAGGTTTTGAAGCAATTTTATATCATTAAATCAAGTTAAATTGGTTCAATTTTTACCCATACGGAATAAGTGCTGAAGTCAAAATAGCCCATGGTTTAATTACTGTACCATAGCCTAGAATATCGAGTTCTGGAAAGATAAATTAAAAATGAATTAAAAAAATATAATTTCTATTTGATTATGTATTGATTTTTTTAATTACCTTTGTCAAAATAAGCAATTTTAACTACTCCAGTAAAAGTTTCACTAAAAGTTTTATTGATATGATAATTATCAAGAATATGAAATGATTCAGAAAATGAAATTACAAAAAAAAAGAAAAAAAAATTTTGTAAGAATTTCATCATGATTGATTTTGAATAAATTATAAAAGTTAACAAATAAATAACAAATAATTACGAAATTATCCTCTAAATAAATATAAATTTTTTTTGAACCAACAATCTATGTACAACTGCAATCTAATTATTTTAAACTGACCAACTTAACATTTAAAAATTAGATGAATTATTGAAAGAATAAATTAATAATTTCAGTATGATTTCAAAGATCGACCGAGTTTGATGATTTCAAGACTTATCGAACTCTATTGATAAGTTTTGCTATTAAATAGGTTGACGTAAATCGAAAGGACTCAACAAGTGGAGCTTGTCATCTCAGGTGAAGAATATTGGGTTACTCAAATTATTTATCAACTTTATTCTTGTTAAATCTATTTATAATGATATTATTAGTCCAGTCAACCCACGTCATTCTTATCTACTCATATCTACTCCATTTGTGAGACAACTTTTAAGAATCTGGGCAATTTTTAATTTTAAGACGGAAAAATATTGGTCATAGTGGGTAAAGAAAACATACTCAAAAATCGAAAGTGCGCCTTTTTTATTCTATTTTTTTATGCATTTTTGTGTTCCCATGTATCTAAGCGAGACAGCACTATACTCAGCACCACACGCTAGAAAAAGACATAACTAGTCAAAAGCAACAACTAATTATTAATTTATTTGAGCTAAAAACATAAGATATTGTTTATTTGGCTTTTTTTAGATATATAAATTGAAAGATAAAATAATTCTATCTAATAATAACTTAATAATAATATTGATTAAAATTGAACATCAATTGTAAGAATTAAAAAAGTGCACTTTCGCTTTTTGAGCACATTTTCTCTACGCACTATGACCAATATTTTTCCGTCTTAAAATTAAAAATTGCCCAGATTCCTAAAAGTTGTCACAAATGCAGTAAAATGACGTGCGTTGACTGGACTATATAATTTTCAGTACAGAATTTTTTTAAAACATTAACATACAGATAATCAACAACATCCGATAATATTTTGTGTAATGTTCTACTTTGAATGGCAAACATTTGCTGTATGTACTGCTGTACTGAAGCATTATTTAGTATTTAATATAAAGTTTCAAGCGTTGGTGGAATTATCCAAATTGGACGTCATTTTTAATCAGTTGCCATAGCATCCTTAGCAATTTAGCATTATTTTAATTATTATTAAATTACAATAAATATATATTATTAATAGTAACTTTTTATTCGTATTATACTATCGTAAACAATGTTTAATAATATTGTGTTATTGAAAAAGTTTCTTTGTTTGTTACTATTTTAGATTGGTATAATTTTTAATAAAATTTAATTATGGAACACAATATTTAACCATTTGTCTTATGATAACGATATTTTTAATAACAACACAAAACAACGCGACTTCAAAGATGTTAAGTGGTGACGTTTACTTTCAATTCAAGTTAATGAACTGTCAAATTATTAATACAGTTATCGAAATAGTATTAATAATATAAAATAACAGTGAATAAATGTCAATATAAGTATGTAATTTATAAATTTTATCAGAAAGAACCGTATATTATGTTATTCCTCTCGTTCCTTTTAATAAATAGATACTCATTTTTTCAATAATTTATCGAGCTTTCTGTTAAAGTGAACGTTAAGGTATTGATGATTCTTATATTCCAGATATACTTCTTCATTCGAATCATAACTTAGGATGACCACCAACTTAATGGGTTTAGGACACTTCACTTTCTCCCGAGAGAAGGGAGCGGGTTATTAAAATATAGTCTGTATTTGGTCTACTTGTGTCAGCTGTATTTTTTCTATAAAAGAATTTCTGGCTGGATGTGATCGAAACTAAAGATTATGAATATAGAGTTCAAGGAAAAGGAGAAAGTATTTTCAGACCATCAATATGTATTTTTATTTTGGTCTTTCTGATAGATAATTTAAAGAGCACACGACTACTTTATAGTGCTAAAACATTTATTTCATTTTTGTAAGCAAAGAATAAAGTTTGTTTCGGAATTCCTGAATCTAAATTTTAATAATAAATCTTTATTAACGATGCTGAATTTTTAGTATAAACAATAAAAATTACATAACAATGAGTATATGAGTTTCATTATAAAATGCTCACTGAATTTATACTGAAGACTTACGAAATTTTACGTTTTCAGTTGTATCACTATAGTTGAAAACGATATATCGATTCAGTATTGGAAATCATTTTTTCAATATTAAATATACACTGACACTTTTGAATGTCTAGAGTCTTTTTTAGTAAATTCAATATAAATTCTAAATATTCGGTATAAAATTAGTATCATAAACATTAGGTTTCTGACAATACATTATAAATTATGTATGTCTGCAACAACAAAAAACTAATCATTGTTTAAGGAATTTATAATTATAACATAAATCCAAGCAAAATAATCTAATTATTATGTTATATTAAATAAATTTTTGTAATATCTCAAGTAGAAGTCAAATTTTACTAAAATTTATTTAAATGGTTATAAATTACAGTGTAGAGAAATCCAGGCGAAATGAACTGGCTGAGTAAATTAAGCGAGAGTGGCAATAAATGTAGTTATCGCGTGACTGAAGAAACCAATATTTTGTGTCTAAAGTGATCTAAAGACATCTGCAAAGGTTGATAAGAAGAAACAGATTACACTGACTACGAGGAAAAGTGGTGTAAGAGACGGTTAATCGATAAGTGTCACGCCACATTTTAACTACTCTGAACTACTGTGTTACTTATTGGTCATTCATACTTGGACAATACGATTCGTTTACAATTTCTATCAATGAAATGACCAATAAAATTCTATTACCAATGAAGCCATGTTTCTCCAGCATATTCTGTTGTTCTCCATTACCTATATTTTCTTCTGGCTAAAACAATTAGGTCATTTTCATCAATTTAAACTTAATAAAGTAAAATAAATTTTTCTCAATACAAAAAATTAATTAAAATTTAAATCTGTGATGATATGATCATGTTTCAGGATATTTTTCCTTAAAATTATGATTCGGTCCCCGTGACACACATCAATGGAAGTGCGCTAACGGTATTTCAACAAGTGACCTACTCTCCAAGTCATTCTTTCTCACTTCGTGGAGTCAGATGATGATTTTAAAGCCTTTCTCTATCTTTCTCCTTGTCTTTCCACGGTCAAGTGAGTGTGCATGACCACTGTTTTACTTGGAGGCTTGAAGCTAGAACTCGATGTGTATACACTTTTTCCTCTTCTTCGGCTCATTTTTCTCTCTCGTCTCCTCGCGCTCTCAACCATGAGACGGTCGATTATATCCGCAGTAATGAAAGCGCCCTCACATGTTGAAGAAGTGCTCTTGTTGGCCCGAGGATTCCCGGTCGTCATAGATTCACTCAACGACATCCTTGACGTGCGCATCCTTAAAAAAAATAACATTTATTTAACTTTTTCTTTAGTTTCAAAAGAAAGAAAATAAGTTCACCTCTCAATTATCAATTATTAATCATTTTAATTCAAAATATCGTAAATTGTCTTATTCATTAGTTGAACTTTAAAGTCATGAGTGCACTTAGTTATATCATTCTTCAGGTGAGTTGATTGAAAACTCTTTTCAATTAGAATTTTTTCATGCTGTTAATATCTAACGTTTGGGAAAGACATTGAATTAGTTTATGCATTATATGATCACTATATTTATATAACGGTATATCCAGATGATTGAAAGATAAAATATTTTATTATGGTTGATGCAGTTTCATCACAAGTGATTTCAACGAAAATCGTCTTTGATGCTGATGAATTATCTTGTAATCAAACTTAATTATCTTATTTTAGGTGATGGCTGTTCAGCTTGTTAAATGCCAGTTTAGTGGAGGAGGAGGACCAAGTACCTTTGGTTACGATGCATCTTCAGCGTGCACCAAACCATACTCAAGAGTCTCAAGAGCACACTTTGAAAAACTTCCATGTGATTTTCAACGGCAAAACTGGTGTACGGTTGCCGGAAGATTTTATCCTTGGTAAATTTTACTTTATTTTTAAAATAAATATTTAAAGAAGTTTTTTTATTTTATTATGAAGTGATTTTAATCAGTCAAAGAAGTTGAATTATTTAAATAAGCGAAAGCTTATATTAAAAAAATTACAGTAATTATTAAAAATCATCACTACTTGACACTCAACAAGAAATGAAAAATTACTTAAAATAAGGATACCGATAAAAAGTATAAACGTCGTGCACATTGTCATTAATAATGATATGAGTGCAAGTAATGATAGTGTGCAGGTAATTTTGATACAATGTGCAGCTAAATGATTTCAAGTGATGAATTATTGATGTAGTGGTTATTAAAAATAATAGTAAGGGTCTTTAAACTCATTAAATACACTCATTAAGTTTTTAATTCTAATGAATATATTTCTAATAAAAATAATAATTTTCACAGACGATGAAAATAGTTTATATTTCAAGATTTGTTATATTTTATAAAATTCTCAGGCAAGCTGTCAGACGATTTGTTCAAGAGAATCAAGGTTTAATGCGTCGAATGTACGGAGATGAGAGGCACATTAATGTTCTTACAGATGAATTAGAAAAGAATGATATTGATGTAGAATTTGATGGTGGATTTCAAAGATACTTCAATTCTCCTCGGTGAGTATACAATAAAACTTATTTTTAATGTAGTCACTTTATGCATAGGTTGTGGAAAGTAAATTTTATTTTTCCATAACGTATCTCTAGAAGTTTCTTATTTAATAATGACTACAAGTTTGATGAGGATGAATTTCGACGATCAAGACACGAATATCAGAGTCGGGGATTTAGTAATAAATTACCAAAGTTGAGAGATTTGACAAAATCATATTCAGAATTCAGTGGAATTTCTTCTACTTCTCCTTCTTCATTGTCTTCTTCAACGCCCAAATCTTCTCTACCTTCTCAAACTTCGACACCATTGCCTTTTTCGGATATTTCAGCTACAATTAACCGAGATGTAACGACGAAATTATTTCAACTAAACAGTTCAACAGAATTACCTTTGAAAAATTCAAGTAAAACTCAAGAAATCCCTAGGGAAAAGATTCGTACAACTTTGCCAATGACTTTATCAGAAATAGCCCGAGTAAAAAATTCAAGTTTGTCAAATGAAATTCCTGGTTATTCCGAACAAAAGGGGAATGCATCAAATGCTACTAGTGAACCATTGGGTGTAAAGCCCATAGAAGAGTCGACTTTGAATCCTGAAGAATTTCCTGCAACTTCAACACCAATTAAGGAACAATTTGACTTAACTACAGAGGGATTAAAAGACACATCTATTAGTGAACTAAGTCAAGAGGCATTTAGACCTCGACCGGAATATAGTTCTACAACTAAACCAGAAAGTTCTGGTATTGGAGGTCAATTATTTCAGGATGTAGTAAAAGATCAGACTGAACAACCAGTTCTTAAGCTTCGAGGAATGTAAGTACTAGGATATCGGCAAAAAATTTTATTTAATGAATATCAATGTTTTATTGAGAAACTGTAATTAAATTAATTATTTGATTCATTTATTTTATTATTAAAGAAATGCATGTCCAGTCAAGGAAGAAGTTGTGGCCCCTTTTTGGGCTAATAATACACGCGGAGAACTTTTGGCCCTATTAAATCTTTATCCTTTTGAACAGTATGTCCATTGGGAAAAATGCACGTGAGTAATAAATACATTATCATTTAATTAAGTTACTCAAAAAGTCTGTATGTTATACTATAGTAATTTTTTATTTTAAATTATTTATAAAGCCATGAGAAAAAGCAAATGTACTGTAGGGAAGGCTGCAGGTGTGAACAGCAATATCGGCTGCATCGTCTACTTGCTTACGACCCCAACAATGAATGCCGGGGGATATTCAGTGACTGGTTTAAATTTCCCAGTTGTTGTGTATGTCGATGCTATGATTTACCCGTTGAATTTCGTGTAACATCTCGTTCCCCACGGGCTCAAAGACAAAAAATTAAATTACGACCTCCTGGGGATCAATAAACTAATCAATACTCGAATTACATAATTTATTGCTCAGATAAACCCATTTTTTAATTACAACATGCACAAAAAATATTATTAATAATAACACAATTATTAATTTGTATCTACTGTGCATTCTGAAAATGACACAAGGCTAGTGATTGATTTTTTAATTATCGATTAATTTATTTTTAACTAAAAAAAAATTAATATTAACTTTAAAAACAAATATTTTTTTAAACGAATAATGAATAAAGATTTCTAAAAATTGAAAGATATTAATATTAATATCAAATATTAATATTAGTAATATAATAATGGTTGTGTAATGAATACTAAAATGTTAAATATAAATACTTAATTTGTGCTTTTGTTGTGGGCATTTCTTTATAATTATCTAGTAAAATAATTCAACAACATAACATTATCTTTTTATCACACACTAATAATTAATTGTTACATATATAGTATATTTATGTTTAATATATTAAAATAATATTACAAACGTCATAATTAATACATCGCGATTACACATGGTATGTACATACAGTAATAATAATTATTAATTAATTAATTAATTAATTAATTAATCGCAAATAATTTTGTATATAAATACACAGCGTATATAAATAACTATTGGAGTAAAACAGTTGGTATCAAAACCATGGCAGAAGAAAATTTTTTTAAAAATCTATTTTAAGTTGTTTTATTGTTATTATATTTTTACGTTTGTGTAAATTATTAAATCAATTCAAATATAATATAACAATTTGTTAAGAATTGTTTACATTTTATTTTATTTATTGATCATTAAAAATATGGAGTTAGTTAAGTAAAGGAGGACAAATAATTCTTCTTTTGTTTTATAATTTGGTCTAATTTTCAATACAATGTCTTAAAATACTGTTTTTGTACATGTCTTGTACAAAATATGTTTAATACACAAAAAAATACCAAATAATTAATCAAATACTAAAATTAACCAAAAATCATTTAATAATTTTCATCAAATCGAAGTAATATAACCTTTTATAAAAATCCTATAGGCAGTGAATTAATTTTCAATTTAATATAGAGATAGGAAAATATTAATAATGATAAAAAAGATGATTTGTGGAAGAAGTAACTTGATCCTAATTGTTGAAAATTTCCCGTATCCTAACAACAATTGTAGTTATTATTTAACAATATTATTTACTTTATTTGCAAGCCAAATCTGCGTGAAAAATATTTTTTTTATCTTTTCAATTCGACAACAATTTGTTAATAGCATAAATCACAGGATTTTACTCCACCGATAAAAACTACTGCATTTTCTTTTTCAAGAAAATCTCAAAGACACTATATATGATAATTAATTATTCAATTATTAGTTATATAATTATTTATTATAAAAAAGACAAAACTTTTTTTTCAATTCGTTTGTTTTTGAGCGAGTAATAGTATACAATGAAAATTTTAGTAACGCTTATTCTTATAACAATTCCATTTATATTGTAAATTACAAAAAAAATAAAATCTTAATTATTTTACCTCAATTTTTATTTAACTTAAATTGATTTCTTTATTGTTATCTTTATTCCCTTTCCATTTCAGCAATAAAAAATGTATTCAATTTACAGACCAACTATGTTATATTTACAAAAAATCACAAGTACCGAAGATATAACTGAATTGAAGAAAACAGAACATATCATGTACTTTTTCATTGTGTTTAATTATTTTTTTTCAAATTAGTGTGTTAGTGGCATAAATGTCAACTTGTGTGTACACGTAGAAAAATGGTATTTTTTTTATTATGATTGCTTTCTATTTTGTAAATCGACGAAAATCTTTTGATATTTATATTTGAGTTTACGAGAAAACAATGTATTTAAGATTTCATTAATATCATATTAAAATACTTGATATATTTGTTATTTATGATTATGAATGATATATTTGAATATAAATGACAAATGTTAGATTGTAAACCTTTCAACAATTTATGAATGTAACTAACTCTTGTTATTGCATATCTATTATTGATTCAAGGAATCGAAAATTGTTTCAAAAATTGGGAAGAAAAATAAATTTTGGTCGATCAATATGGTAATGTTTAACTTGTTTTTTCTATTCCAATTTCATGTTTGAACAACAGGTATGTTTAACAGTGCCTAATGTAAAATAGCAAAAAAGTGCATATTTAAATATAAGGTATATAAATATATTTTATTTTATATATTGATAATAATCATTGATTTTATATTTTTTAATATTACTTCCTGTCTTTATCCTTTTATTGTAATCGGTCAGTAATGATTAATCTGTAACAGTACATATTGCCAAAAAATACACGAATACAGAGTTGAAACTATTTTTAAAAATAAAAATATACTCTACGCATAAAAATAACTTTTTAGTAGATATTTTTCTTGTCAAATGTGTTTTTATAATTATTTGACTTAATTACAAACATTAGTTAATATTCAAGTTTAGTTTAAAATATCGAAGAAATGAAATATTATATATTTTTTAATTCATGAAAAGGCGTTAAATTATGCCATAAATCATATTCCCAAGAAATCTACGACACTTAAAATTTCCCACTATGTACTCAGGTTATGTACTAAAGATAATGAAATTGTCCTTGAATTATTAGAAAGTTTTTGCAAATGAGTCGTAGAAATACAAAGGATAATGGTGGACAAGATGGAAAAGGTCATCTCTCATATTTCTATTGTATATTTGTGTACAAAAGCAATAGACTGGACTCTGTCTATGACTAGACTCAGTCTATTGAATAGAGTATTTGACAACGACCTTTTCATTTATAATGTTACCTGAAACATAGAAGGTCTCTGTAAGGCAGATTTGTCGAAAATAGAATTTCTACGGCTTATACCAACTATGTGCAATTACGCACGTATTCAATTTATTGTATCAACTAATGTATATTTAGTTGATTGAGCTGAAAATTCATCGGATGAATACACATTATATTAATTAAAATCACTGTAGTTTGAATGTATGTTAATTAATGAATACCCATTGATTGTCGTATAGCAGAAACCTGTTCATTGTTGGAAAAATTCAAACATTTTTAACAACAAAATTACTGATGAAATTTTTTATGCTATTGATAAATTTATCACTAATTCATTTTTCAATGATAAATGGATATTCTGCAATTTTATTCAATTTTTTAATAAGTTATTCATAAATTCCTTCTTTTATTTGTACAGGGATTAATTGTAATAAATTTTTTTCCATAAAATAGCTATTGATAGATATTCGAAAAATATATCATTTAAAATGATTATTAGAATATGTGCTAGAACTTTTTATTTTTAAAAATTAGTTTCTACTCTTAGCTTGATGATTGTGTCAAGTATTGCATCTCGAGTGATTCCTAATGGGTGTATAAATGTTATAACGGTTAAGTTGTTATGATATGTAATAAAAGCAGTAAATAGGTATCACAGTAATGTGATTGAAAATATTATCAATATCACTTGTTCTGTTCTAATTACGTCTTGACTTCTGTTTCTTCAATCAAAATTTTTTAATTTTTTTAATATTATCAAATTATTATTACTGAATAATTTACCTTTAATAGTAAACTGGTTTAATTATTTAAGATAAATTGTTATTCATGATGATTGCATTCAAATTTTATATTATATTAAATGTTAAATTAGTAAGAATTTGATTTTTTAATCTAACTCAATTAGGAGACATTCTATCAAATACATTATTATCACGTATGGTTCCTTCTTTTCATTATTATTTATTTAATTTTTAATTTTTGCTTTTTTCTGTTTTCAATTCATCCTAAATACCAATGTTACACATATATACTTCATATATAACTGTTAACTTAATACCTTCAATTGTTTACAATCATATTATACTTCTTAAGTTTTTGGTCTCAATGAATTAACCTACGCCTAAATATTGTCTCTGGTTAGAAAACTAAAAATTTTCTTACAAGTTTAAATTTTCAAAAATTTTTCTTTAATCACAAAAAATATTTTTTATAAAAATTATTTATAATTTTGTTTAAATTTTATAAGTTTCAAAAAAGTTACGAATTCTTCGCGGCAATAATTGAAAAATAAAGGACTCTCAATATTTAAAATTCAAAGTAATAATAATAATAGTAGTAACGCTAATAATAATTAACTAATAAGTAATAATATATCAATGATAATAATAATTAAAAATAAATATATAAATGACGATAAAGTCAATTATACCTAACAATTAATACAACATAACCGATTTTCGTCATTTAGACACGAGAGTATTCACATCAACAGTGTATCAAATGACAATTTCTTGTTTTTTTTCAATTCGACAATAATTACAGCAAAAACCTTAAACGTTGATTCCACAACTTTAATCGTATCAGGAAATATGCGAAATCTTTATGAAAATCTGCCATAACATTCGCCATAATAATAAATCTGGAGTTTTTTAAACTCGTGACAATCTCTTCAAATTTATACAAAAAAAGCTAAACTATTTACAATTCTTCTGTTCAATTTCCCAATAAAGAAATTGAATTTATATTATAAATATAAATCAATTCCGTTGATTGATAATCTTGTACATACATATTTCAAGTCTTTCTCTAACACACAGCAAAAAACAATTCACTCAAGAGCCAACCTACGACGATTATTCTTCGACGGTCCCGTAATTTATCATCTCACATTTCTTTATACAGTTGTGGTCAATATCACCAATACGATTTCATATTAATATTACCAATAAAATACTCGTTCAAGAATAATAAAAGTTGTATTCGTTTTTTTACTCTTCAGAAGAAGAAAAATGAATTAATAAAGATATAATTTCATTTCAGGGATAAGTATAGAGATTTAAAATTATATCTACAAAGGTTCTATCATTCGCGACATTGTCTTAATACCTATTCTATTGATAATAATTGTAAAATAAAATTACTAAATTCAACTGCTTATTTAACATGATTTCCAATCCGTCATAAAAATTAACACTTACATAAAGAATAGTAGACTGTAATTAACTTTGATACAAAGTAAATTCTTTAACTTAAAAATATTGCACAAATTGTATTTTATTTTAATGAATAACTGCTATTTATGTTTGAATATCTTCTCTATTATTCAATATTTCAATAATATTGTTGTAAACTTCCTGAGAAGTAATGTAACCTTGCACGAGCATTTAAAATGGATGGAATAGTTATTTTCATACTTTCACACAAGACAATTTAGTATGAAAGTCCGCAAGGTAAGTTTTTTTACAAATTTTAAGAAATAAAGTCGTAAGATTTTTTTGACCACCACTGTTAATCTTTATCATGTCCCGACTCAATTCAAGCGATTAATAAATCATTAATCATTACTTACTCACATAATCCATCTGGCAATTGATCTTTTCATGGAATTAATCCTCTTCATCATTAATTGAATGTAAATTAATAGGACTTTGATAAAAATATAAGAAAATAGTAAGATGAAATGAACACCAACGAATTCTAAAAAGAGTTAAGTAAAAAATAGCGCATAGAATCCGTGTCACAACCAAATTGAGACCGTAAATGAAGAGTGAGAAACAATAACAATAACAACATTAGGATAAAAAAATAGGGTTGTTGTTTCTCTTTTATGATATATTGATATGTATACGACGTAGGGGCCCCCGGTAGAATTAGATTGATTTCCACTGCGGTTTGTGGGGGCCCCTTTGATGTCAGGTAGGCCCACGAGGTACCCACAGTGCTTTACTCTGTTCTTCATCTACTGCAGTTTTAACTTGTGTGCAAATAAATGCAACGTTTACACCGGCAGGAATAATTGCTGTAAAGAATGAAATTATATTAATGAGTTTTATTAAAAAATTAAAATTGAATCAACAAGCTAAATATAAAGAAATGAAACCTCAATTAAAAATAAGAAAGTACATAAATAAATCAGTAATTCAATTGGACTTCATCTATAATAGATCTTTCAACAAATTAAATAGTTGAATTAAAAATAAGTTCAGATTCAATGAATTAATTGAATCATGATAAGAAAATCTTTTATGCAAGTAAATTAATTAAATTTTAATGAATGAAAATTTCAGAATAAGACATGAAGTGAGAAAGTGTTTAGAATAAGAAAATTAATTGAAAACGAATTAAGATTATATAGATGCATAAATTAATTAAATTCAAGCTGTGAAAGTTTTTAGAATAATCTTTAATAGAAGCAACACTGTGTTTTCATTTATTTTTAATGTGAATCAATAAGCCTGGTAATTTTAGTAATTTATAATAAACTCACCAGAAATGTATTGCCTATACTCTGCTTCTACCTTGAGTGCTTGCTCATACATTTCTTTTGCCGCCTTAGCGCTCACTTTATCACTAGGATATCTTGAATCCTTGACTTCTTTTATCTGTTTCGTACTTTTGAACTTAATCAATAAAACTATTGGATAAATTTGATGCTTATGGAGACGCTCCACTGATGCAATTGATATATCCAGAATACAATGTGCACTCTGTAAAAAGAATTTTTTTTTCATTTATTTAATCGACTTCAAAATAATAGTTTGATGTGAATTGAAGTAGGTGTATCTCATATAGCTATGATTGAATAAATTTTAATAGTTTACCTTTGAACATGATTCTTTCACAGCCTGTACAGTTGTACATTCAAAATAACTTCCTTTCTTTCTATAATCGACATAGAGAGAATCACGCAATCCTTGTTCAAGTGTTGCTTGAGAACAGTGCATCGCTTCTGGAAGACATCGAGTAAATTCACCTTGGAATTCTTGAAATAATTTTGTCGCTACACACTCATTTAACGGGCCAATTATCAGTACAGGCCTTAAAGTTGGTACTAAAATAATATAGAGAAATATTATTATAACATGAGAAATAAATCACATAAAATTCTGTTGATGCAAAACTTCGCTTTTCTAATTTTTAAGATAATTTATAAAATAATATGCAATCATAATATTGTTAAAATCAGTGAGAGACATAAAGAATTTAATACTGTATGATATTAAATATAATGAGAATACTTTTGCACCAACCCAGAAATAATTGAAATTTTAATTGAATAAAATATCTTACAATCTAATCTCTCAACACGTTGATAGCTAGCAGGTAGATTCTCTTCATTCAACGTTCCACTATCACTATACCATCCGAGACTGACTCCTGTAAGTTGCGAAAGCTCTTTGCTATCTCTACTCGACGATCTATGATGTTTTTTCCTTCTAAAAAAGCTTCTTCTTGCACTTGTCGTCCCTCTCCTACCGGTGTCTGTTTCCAAATCACCCAGCGACCGTCTTAACAGCAATTCTTCTTCGATTTTAAATTTACTTGGAATAATTCCACATTGCTGTCGTCTACCAGATTGGTCCACTAACCATGCTCTCCAATGTCCTGGAGTTCCATTAAACATTGTATTATCAACGTAAAGAATATCATCTTTGTTGAACCGAAGCTGGAGACTATCTCCTACTTCACCCACTCGATCAAACATGGCTTTAACATAAAAACTATCTCCAGGCTTGTCTTTCACTTCATTGTATCTCTCCGGCATGTATTGAGCAACAAGAGTAACTTTATCCGCAGGTCGAGCTAATTCAAGAGCTGCTTGTTCCGCAGTTGCCTGTCTTAAGTCAACTCCATTATATTCAAGGATGCGATCACCTGTAGTCAATCCCGCTTCTTCTGCAAGACATCCTGGTTGAACTGAGTGAACAAAAATACCTACACCATTACCGCCAACAAGTGAAATGCCAAGATTTGAGCATTTTCTTGTTTCTATAAACAGATATCTAGGATCTAACGTTGGTGGAGTTTTCCTACTTTGTTCTTCTTGCGTAGGACTTCGTACAGTTGCGTTTTGTCGCTGTAATGTCGTGACAGCTTGATTTATTTGCGCACGAGTTAAAGTACTTCCAGCACTCCTTAGTGAATCAATAGTAGCTGAGTTCCTCATACTTTCTAATGTTGCTGAGTTTCTCAATTCTGGTTTTCTTATGTTGATATCTAATGAGGCAGATTGCCGAATCTCTCTCTCCCGTTCTTGAGTTCCTCGAACTTCCATAGAAGCTGAACTTCGTACTTCTCGTTCTCTTATAACTGGTGGCATAAGTGTATTGGGCTTTTCCTTTTCTGGTTCGGATGGCTCATGGGTTTCTAAAGTTGTTTTTCGAAGTGCTTCTGGACTATTACAAGGCGTTGGTGAACCACTACGGCTTGCTCCTTCTTCTCCACCTGCTTCGGAAGGACTTGAAGAACCTGAACTTCCGAGCTCGTTGTACTCTAAATATATAAATAATCCATGACTTTAATTTTTAAAATTCTTTGAGTCGATAAAAAAATTTGCAAGAAGTTTGGGTTGCATAAAACTGCAAATTCATTAGTACTAAACAATTAAATAACATTTAAGAAGGCATTTTTTGACTTTATTAACTGTTAATTTATCAAAAGTTAGAAGTCATAGGAATGAATGAATGAAGATAGGATTCAAAAACTTCAAAAAATTGACGTTTAAATTTTTATCGACTCTGTTAACATCAAGAGATAAAAGAAAAGTGTTAATAAAAAACGTGAAGATGTTATTAAAAGTGTCAATAAAGTGGAAAAGGTTATTAATATCTTGAAAGTTGAAGGAACTCTCTGAAAATATAACTCGCTCTTCCAAATACTTACTATTAGGATTATACTGGACCAGCATAGTAATGGAATTACCACACTGTCTTAGAACATGTGCTGCATGTTCATATGTCGCATTTCTCATATTGATTCCGCACACCTCTAGAAGTTGATCTCCAATTTGTAGTCCGACCTGAGATGCTAGACTATGCTCACTAACTGTGGAAACATAGACTTCACCTTTATTCGAACAAGAGATTTGGATTCCAAGAGGCTCGACAGATTTATCGATATGAACCCTCCTCAGTTCTCCAGGAGCAGGTAACGGTTGTGTGTAATAATCGGACATATTTGTTCGTTTGATGTTCCCACTGCTTCTAATAGTTCCTCCACTACTGCTACCACCAATTCCAGGACTCAAGATTTCCACATGAAAAGTTGGCATAGGACTACCTCTCTCTGATGTCCTCTCAATACTCCCCGTTGACAATTTTCCCACACTACTTTTAGAAGTTACACTAGGATTCGAAGGTATCCTAAACCTCTGATTCTCCTTCTTTCTCGGAAATGTTCCACCTTCATATCCATGAGTGTAAGCCGGCAAATCGTAAGCAATGCCTACTGGATGACCTCGTGGTTTGTGATAGTGCAAATCTACGGAAGGAGTGTGCAAATGTCCGAATCCTGGTTGAGGTCCTGGACTATAAGGGGGCTCAAAACTAAAGGATCTAGAGTCAGGAAGTCCTAAAGACTCTCCAGACTGCGCTGACGGTAAGGACGGAGGTGAGGGATATCGAGATGGCAGCGAGTTTTGCTGGTGCGGGTGTGGATGCGAGTGTGTATAAGGGGGAAACGAGAAATTACCAGCGAGCTGTTGTCTAGGAGCGCTGGATGAAGATCCTGAACCCAACGGGTAAAGTTGAGAGTGAACCCTGTTATGCTGAAGAGCTTCTGGATGGCTTTCATTGCTGCCTGAAGGATACGGCTTTTGAGTACGACGTTTAGCATGACCATAATCGCCCTCTCTGCCAACAGATTTGACAGAAAAGTCGATGCTGGTCTCAGAGGGTGCATGAGATGATCCCAAACTTCTCTCTGTTGCCTCGAAGTCGCTCTTTTTTTCCAGTGACATGTCCTTGAACTGCACCGCCGGCTGGAAAGATTTCTGTCCAAACAATTGTCCGGATTTACTGAAGCTCGGCATAGGGCTTTCTACAGCTTTATAAACTGTGTGACGATTGCTTACGTTTGAAAAATTTGCTAAAGGAATAGGATTAGAAATACGGTTGTAGTTGTAGCTCTCATATTTAGGGGGTTGGTTTAAAAGTACACTGAGTGGAAGCCGTTCCTTCGTTTTCCTAGGATGAAGAATCGTTCCAGTTCCATTTTGAATCAAAGGTCCACCTCTTGCTTTCGGCCACGTCCCTCCATTCTTCTCAATTTTCTCCGTTCCTCTTCGTTTGCTCCTCTTCAAAACTCCATTATTAGTCTTTTTATGATAACTCTCAATAACGGAATCTAATTCTGCAATTGCATCTTGTTCTTGCTCGAAAGTATTTGGACTTGAGTTCCGATGACGTTTTTTCTTATCATCTCTATCCTTACTATGTCTTCTACCACGAACTATGTCAATCTTCTCTCGAATATTCTCCCATGCGTTACTTATTCCACTTGGTTTCTCATTACTAACTGATTTGGAAACCTTATAAATAATTCTATCACCGAAATTCGATGCTATATAACGACGCTCATAATCATCAGAGGTTGCTTTTAGCATCATTCTTTCTTGCTCAGTTTGAGAACAATTATTAACCATTTTCTGTTTATCAGAAGCAAATCCTGTATCTATTGCTTCCAAGCTTAAAACTGACGGTAAAGCAAGCCCTTTTAGAGTCGTTATAGTTATCACATCAATGGAAGTATCGTTTAAAATAGCCATAGCTTCATGCACTGAACTTATTCCATCCATTGGTTTACTGTTAATATTTAAGACTCTATCTCCAACAGCCAAGTTACCATCTTTAGCAGCCACACTTCCTGGAGAAATTTTTGCTATATAAATTCCTATTTCTAAAAATATTCCATGAGGAATAGAACCAACTGGTAATTGAGTTGTCCTTAATGCTCGTCTAGTTAATCGTCGTCTTCTTACAGTCAGTGTAGCTGTACCCATAGTACATGCTCGTAATGTTTCTAAAATCATTCTAGTCGATACTGTTGAACAATCTACATTATTAACACGAATTATACAGTCATTAATTCTCAATTTTCCTTCAACAACACTTCCTTGAGATATTTGAGCGACGTAAACACCTGAATCGTTAGGAGACTGTGGATCTTCTCTACCACCGACAAGTACTATTCCTAGATCCCCATCACCATCTTGACAAAGTCTACTAAGGTCAATTGGAATCGTGATGACATCCCATTCACTGACATTACTTTCTTCATGATATTGATTGGTTCGCAATGAATGATCTCCGCTCTCAATCTTCTCTTGAAGAGCTTTAAGTTCTTTTGAAGCCTCGTTTCGCTGCTTCTTGATGTCATCCGAATCTCTTAAAGCACCCGCAAGCTCAGAAACTGCACGATCTCTTTCTTTTCTCAGTCTTTCACAAAGAGTTCTCATACTTTCACGTTCTAGAACAGTTTTATCCCGTTCACTAAATGCCCAATCTCGTCTTCGTTTAGATACTTCAGCTTCTTGAAGTGCTTCTTCTAATTCTGCTTGCAGAGTATCTACGGATTTTCTTAACTTGTCTAGTTCTAGATTTGCTTGGTCTAAATTGTCCATTTGTTCTTTTTCTCTCTTGGCATAATCCCGAGTATTTGTTTCTCTTTCAGCTTCTTTACTTGCATTATCTCGCTCACGGTTGTAAGTTTTTATAATCTCACGATTTTTATAATCTCTGTTAGATCCTTCAGAATAATCACCAAACTTGAGCCTGAGATCGTTGCATTCCTTGAGAGCTTCATCGCGGTCATGGAGAGCTGATGATATCTCTCGCCTCAAGGTTTCGATTTGATAGGAAAGCGTCTTTTTCTAAACAGAAAATATTCAAAAAATATTAATTTGAAAATATACATTTTTGCTAAACTAATTAATTTAACTACTAGTTATAACAAAAAATTTTAAATAAAAATGAAATGAAAAATTTACCTCATCCACCAATTGTTTATTTTGATTTTCTAAATGAGTTATCTTAGAATAAGCTTGACTTAAATCATCCCCAAGTTTTTCCATTTCTTTATGAACTGTATCTCTTTCACCCATTATCAGGCTGTACTCTTGTAAGGCAGCATTTCTTTCCTCAGATAATCGTTTCATATCCTTACTCGCTTTCATGCGAAGCACCATGGCCTGATTAACTTCTTTTACTGCTTCTTCGTGTTGCTGTTGAAGTTTTGCTAATGCTTCACGGTATTCATTTCTCTCACGTAGAGCTATATCCCATTGTCTTATCGCTGCCGTACATTGTTGTTTTAATCCATTTCTCTCTCTGAAAGCACTGTTACGTTCTTGGACTACATCTTCATACTGCTTTTTCAGTCTGGCTGCTTCTTCTTGTGCTAGCTCCAACTGTTTTAAACATGAAACTATCATTAAAATCTAAAATTTTTAAAAACACTTTTCAACGATTATCCATTGTTTAGTATGTGTAAGTAGCAAGATTTTTACTAAGTCATCAATCAAAGTTTACTCTTCAGATATTAGCATAAATTGTGTTTCCATTGACAATAAATGTCAAGATGCATTATTTATTGGTAATTGAATGACAAGTATAATAATTTCTAATTAATATTATCATCGGGAAGTAATTAAAAAATTTCAAAGTAAAAGGAAAACAAAAATTTGCCTTATTAACAGCAGATGAATGCGTAGAAATGAGATCATCATATCGTTTCCTCAAAGAATCATATTCATCCTTGATTGTCTCATATTTTCTCAAGGCGGAGAGGTAGTGTTGATTGATAGCATCACTATTAGAAGGATCAGCAACAAGAACCTCTTGATTTTGGCATCTAAGTTCAGAAACTTCTTTCTGCAGTGCTTGGACCTCGCGATCGAGTCTTTGTTTATCATTGACCAGGTCTCCATATTTACCCCGAAGAGCTGAGCTCTCTTGAGAAGTTGCCTCCAGCTGATTCATTGCGGCTATGTGTTGTCCTCGATAATACTCCAATTCTTTCATAGTGTGCTCACATCTAATAAATAAAAATAAGAAGGATTAGCCATGTTACAACGGTAATCGACCTTGCTAGTATGAGGACAGTTAATTATAAAACAATTCCACGCTGCAATGAGTCTTCATTTGACTGTTGCTATTTTTATATAAAAAATCAATACTCAACTCTGGGGTATCAAGAGCCCCATGAGTACATTTAAGCGTGTGGATAACGTGACACCGTTAGGGGATAACAGAAGCTTAAGATTAACGCTTATAGTAGATTAAAAAAACATCGAGAAACAGGTCAGGAGTTTTGATCAATACACTATACAGTTGTAAATACAACAACTCTAGGAATATGGATTCAATATTTAATTAGTTAATTCAAATGTTTGCAAACTAGGCCAACAATTTATGTTGTTACTTTGATAATTGGATCATATGAAATAAATTCAATAAACTCATGAAACCAAAATAGAAAAAAAATGAATGAACAAAAAATAAAACAAACCGTCGAATGGTATCAGAGTGTTTATGTCTAAGGAGCTGGAGTTGATGCATGGCTTGATCACATTGTGCTTGCAAACCATCGTAATCACTACGACATTCAGGACCTCCCACTGGACTTCCAACACTGCCATAGCCTCCGCTATCCCCCTCTGCATGCCGTGCAAAACAAAAGATTCGAAAAACGGGATAAAATATACATAACAATTTCATTATTCAAGTACATTTTATTCATGTAAATAATTTCTAATTGTTTGATGATAACTACACTAATTAAAAAAGCTATCTGGAGTTCTTGTAGTGCTTAATTTGCTATGAAAATTAACTTTGCAATAATAATTAATTATAATGGGAAAATTTTTCATATTTTAATTATTAAAAGAAAATTTTATCCCAAATTTCTTTGCACTAATTTATTTACAATAATTAAGTATTGTAAACAAATGGAAAATATCAACTGATAATAATTTTTTTTTTTTGATAATAATTGCGAGGCAAAAGTTCAAAACTTGAATTTAGAAGGAAATTTATACTCTATAACATCAATAATTGTCTATTAAAAACTAATCAATCACTACTTATTTTACATAAAGGGAGAATATATTTCAACTAAAAGGATAAATATATATAAATACATTAATGATTGTTCTTTACTTAAATAGCTTTAATTTCTAAAATTTAATCAGGTAGATGTAAAATCTTACCCATGTTGAGTGCCCCATCTGGAAAAAGGAAAAGATTTTATAGGCTTGATAGCAGAGCTACTTTATTTTATTAAAAAAATTTTATTCATTCGACTCAACAACGGAATGAAAAGTAAACTAATCAATTAATTTTATTATAAAATAAATAACTAAACAGAACATTCTAAAATACATGGATGACTTTGATATATAAATATTGGTATTTTTGTATCAACAACTGACTGGTTAACTCGTGTAAAAATGTAACTAGTTACTGAGAGAAAAATAAACTTCTAGCTTTCACTCAGAAAAGAAACTCTTGGTTACACATGGAAGCACTAGTGTTTTTTTCTATCATAAATTAAACGAATAATTAACAACTTCTTTCAGATGAAAGAAAGTAATAATGAAAGTATTTAATGTATGTGATGATAAAAAAAATAATTAAACTTACCGCTACTTCCAGCACTGTCCAGGGAAGATGCTCCAGAAGCCATGACTTCTGTCCCCTGTTTTTTCCTTAATGGAACTGGATTATAATTTTTATTTTTAACATGGGCACTTGTCCAGCGATTTGTACGCTAGATTTTTCCTGCAAATTAAGCAACACACACTATATTTTACGCTAGAATGAACCCTTTGTCATTCTATACCATCAAAAGGCGATCTTCGCGATGACATTTCTCATTCAAATTTATTCGATAACGCGGGAAAACGTTTATTAATTATTATTTTATCATTTGTCAACATTTTTTCAATCAATTATCACTACTTTCTTATTTTTCCATGGATCGTATTACTGATAGACTACAGGTGATCTCCACAATTCAGGTATTTCCCTGGAGTTCAGGGCATTCAATGCAGCTTAAATCGAGAGCTTATGTTTTCCGAATGGTCGTAGATCTCTACTCTGTTTCTTGATGATGTGTCGCGAGTAAACGGCTAAATTTTGCAATAAATCCAATTTTCAGTTGAAATTATTGGCACTTGTAGCAACGTTTAACTTAAAAATAAACCACTAGTTTAAAATTAATTAATAATTAGATTTTTAATAATTTATAAAATTTTTTTAACAATTATTGACCTGCAAGAAACTTGTTCTAAGACTTGTTGAACAGCAACCATCAATAAATTCAGATTTATATTACATGATGATAAAATGTCATCGCAACACTAATCACCATTCAATTGACTAACTTTTTATTTAATTTAATCACAATTTCGTTTACATCTTGATTCTCACCTGCTACACCAACTAGCCTGACAATTAGCCATTTTCATCCACCAACTACGGGATATTCTATTCACACACGACGTTGTCGGTAATAAACATTATTTTCGTTTCAGAGCTGTAGTTTAGTACTTTGCCACCTGTGGCGTCATGTATTTTTTTCTAACGAACAATATGGCGACCCGTTATAGCGCCATCTTTATTAGTTGTTTACGCAATTTATTCTTCAATAAAAAAATTCTTTTTCAAGTTACTTAATTTCATAAAATATTATCCATTTATATATTAAATGATGTCTGTAATGTAAACAAACATTGTTTTTAACAGAAAGTTTATGAGGTTATAGTTAATTTTCATCGATCGATTTCATTTGACAGTTGGTAAACATTTTGATTAAATGGATTGTTTGTTATTGTTCCAAAAACTAAACAGAATAAACAAATTTTTGTTAACTCCATCAATTTTTTAATAATTTCGAGAGAATTTTATTGGATGATTCGAAGCAACATTAATATTTAAATTATAATTTCATAAAATTTCATTTGTTATTGATAAAAATTAATTAGTATTATTGAAATATATTTGTTGAATAATTATGGACTTATTTATGAATTTTTTTACAGTAAAAATGACTAGTAGAGGATATAAATCTAAAACGGGAGATGATGATGAAGTAATCCTGAGTTTTGATGATTGTTTGCTCCGAAAAAGTGATGTTAATTTACTTAAAGGTCCTTTTTGGTTAAATGATGCGATTATTGGTTTCTATTTCACTTATTTGGAAAAATCTACTCATACATTTGAAGATAACGGATATGACAAAATAAGAGGAAAAGTAAAATATTTCAGTCCAGAAATAACTCAATTTTTAAAAATGGTTAAATCAGTATCAGAATGTTCAATGATGCTGGATTGTGTGATTACTAAAGATATCCAATTTATATTTTTTCCTCTGAATGATTGTCAAAAATATGATGATGCTGGAGGAACTCATTGGAGTCTTTTAGTTTATTCAAACCCGGAAGACAAATTTTTCTATCTGGATTCTATGAAGTCTGATTATAATCGGTCAATGGCTAAATCATTTGCCAATGGAATCAATGAGTACCTTATTACGAATAATTTAAAAAATACTCAATCAACTTCAATGAGCTTTAAAGATATACAATGCCCTCAACAAACTAATGGTTATGACTGTGGAGTATTTGTGCTTACCTATGCTGAAATAATATTACAGCACGTTAAATCTAATTTAAAAGTTGAGGGATGTAATTTTAGTAATGTGAATAAATTAGTTTCATCTCAACGATCAAAACTATTAACTCTTATTGACGATCTTAAAAATAAAGACAGTTGATTATAATTATAAAAATACGCTTCTGTACAATTAATTATAATAAAATAATTTTTTATATAACTCACGTTTTCAGTCATTTAAATCATTAGAAAATTAATGAGTAATATCTTTACCACATGAAAGAAAGTTAAGTAAAAATAATTATATAAGAGCAAACCGAGTAATACTTCGATTGCAAATTACGTATTTATCATCTAATTTTAAAAGTAAATGAAACAATAATATAAACAGAAGTAATCACGACTTTTTTAAGTAATTTGTTTATTTTTTATTAAATGAAAAACAGTATTAGTGTTATTTGTTCCAATAACAAATATACACAAGAAAAATAGAAATAATAAAAAAACTGTTTACAGTTAAAATGAACAATTAATGCCATTCACAAAAGATATGTCTCATTTGTTCAATACTCCACAGGATGTAATGGTGTTTATACATGAGTCACAGCTTCAATTAGTTTAATTATTTCTTTCGCGCATTAAATATTAAATATAAAATATACATTCGTATTTTTTTAATAATTTTTAATATTATTAATATATTTTATTTTTTCTCTTCTCTCACTATACAATAGACACGTATTTCTCTTTTATTTTTTATTCATTATTAACTTAGTATTTATTTGTTATCAATCTACATGTAATCTATTTCTTTGATTTTGGAAGGCCAGCATAAAAATCACGAAAAATGGTAAACTTAGTTAAGTTATTATCTATTTCATGGTGTTATTTTCCTTCAACATTTAATTGTTTAAATATTTCTTTTTATTTAAAAAGAGAACAATGCGAGCTCTGATAGCCGCTAATGATTATATCATTAACATTTTTTGTACATTTTATATTACTAAAAATAATATAATTTGTAATACAAGTAACTTTTTTTAATACGATTAGATCGAAGTTTTTAAAGCCTCACTTAATAAGCAAGTTTTTTTTCTATATTTGTTTAAACAAATTATTTACACAAGTGGGAAAGTATTCGCTGGTCTTAGTTATATGTCAGATCATTTGAATATGTTCTTTGCTTATTGTAGGCAGTGGTGCAATGTAAAATTGAAAAATACAATGGAATAAAATCAGAGATATAAAAAAATTTTGGAAATATGCTTTAGACATATTTTGTTATTGGAATATGCACTTCTAACTTTTTGTGTGTGCTTCTATTCATTAAAATATATAAAGTACAAAAGAACAAAATAAATGAATTAAGTTTGAAGAATCAACGAAAATCATGGTTTATATGTTAAACTTTGGTATATGCATTAGTACCGATAGTTATAAATAAAATTATTAAATATTCTAAAGATCGATCCCATTATACATAAAACTTAAATCAATAGTCATAATAACAACAACTTCAACTATTATTAATGAGATGGTTATAAATGTGTGAGAAAAAGAGAAATTCTTAAAATTAATGAATTAAATATAAAAAGGCTTATTCAATCGGGCAATTAATAATTATAATATTGACAGCAATTACAATAACAAAAGCAAATAACTTATAAATTTATTGATAAAAAAATTTGGTTTAGAGCTTATATTGATTCATTATAAATAAATCAAATTTTTTTATTAAATTGAGGCCTCTTCAATTTATTTCTTATCTCTCTTATCAGTTTAATATATTTTTTTTTTGTATTCTTATACTGAGTATGATTGGAAATGATAAAAAATAGTAAAAACAAACCTCAATTTTATGAAGTATATCGCAATACATTTAAACTTCCTACTCAAATATTACGACAATCGTAACAATAGAGATATTGAATGAGGAAAGGAACACTGTAAATAATTTAAGCAATATTTTGCACATACTAAGTGTCTTATGAGAGCTAATACGACGACACTAAGTGATCGCACATATATCTTGAAATTTCACTCAACTGTTTTCTTTGTTAAGATCGTTATTTTCTTTATTATTATCATAGTTTATGTTCATTTTTACACTATTCTATCCTAATTTCCTTATCCCTGGTCTAAATTCAAATATCTAGACTAAAATACAAGAATTTTAGTTGCATACTTTTTTCTCTCTATACACTGACTATTAAATGGTGCTGATTTATCTTAATCCTACAGAAATAAATAATCTGATAAATATTTCTCTAGTTGGACACAATTATTTCGATTGAACTTATCAATCAATTTTCATTCTTATAAGAGACACTGGAGAATCATTTTTCTTTAGTTTTTTTTCTATTTATCTCCTGCAGATGTCTTGGAGATCACGTCAATATATTTTCTCAATTTTTTAATCTAATATAATATTCTAACAATTGCAAAAAAATAATCTATAAGTGAGTGTATACACGCTAAATGTTTGGATATTTTATACTGTAGATGCTTGCTGATTGTTGTTGTCCAACGGAATACTGGATGAGCACTCTTTGAGCATTGCTCTGAGTCGTAAAATTTCTTTGGATGCTGCTGTCAAGTCTGATTGAAGCTGCAACTCTTTTTCGCGAAGTCGTTTTATATCTCGTTGGCATGTCTGAAAAACCCAATACAATTATCAGTTAATACCCTATAAACTTAATTACTAAATTAAACCTTTTTTATATATCCATGATAAATAATTAACGGAAGATATTTAATTTAATAATTGTAAAATTAAAAAGTTAGTATTGAGATAGTTGATAAACTACTTTAATTTTTGAAATGAGTCTATTCAGAGGTTGAAAATTATTTGTAACTTGTTTCAATATATATGTGTATAAATATGGGCAATACTATTATTTAAGTATTCGACTGGATTTGAGGAATCAAGGAAATACTTTTGGAGGTTTCTAATAAAACTTGAATTATGATAAAAATGACAAATGATGTTAGAAAAAAATAAAAATTTCAAAAGAAGTATCAAGGACCTTAAGGATTAAAGATGTAAATAAAGCAATAATACAAGAAACTTACCACATTCTGCCTTAATAAGTCCAGTTTATCACACTTCAACCTTGTAACTTCTTGCCTTAAATTTTCCATCTCATTAGTTCCATTCTTAACATTATTACACCTCGTAGTTTCATGAGTCTCTGCTGAACTCATTGACTCTAATCCAGTGTCACTGTCAGGGTAAACTGCTTGATCTAACTCGAGTTCGCTATTTAACGAACTGTCATCGCTTTCAGACACGACTCTTTGTGCTATCTCTGGTTTCTCAGGCCTGTCATCTCTTTTCCTGATATTCTCATGAGTAAGACGCGGAAAGGTTGTATTGGTGGGATTTTTTTCAATTGTTCCAACATCATTATTAACTACGGAAGTTTGTTGGACTGATTCTCGTTTGTCAACGTCATCTTGCTGCAATGTTGTTAAACTGCTACTGTCTTGGTTGTCAGTATTAGACAAGCTGCTGTCTTGGCTTCCTAAACTTGGACTTCCGCGATCTGAATCCCTTCTCAAAGTCAAATCCGGAGATCCTAAAGGACTAGATGGTTCGATAGATCGTTTCCCACTCATCTTTGTGGTCGATTGTCTATTACTTGGCGGACTTGGTTCAGATTGACCTTTTTTAGCTAACTGTTGAGGTACACTTTCAGTCGAAGCATTTCTCACTCGTGATATTAAAGCTTTTCGCACTGTGTCGATGAATCGAGAACCACTTCCGCCACCTGAACTCGGTGCTTCACTAGTTGTTGGACTAACTGGGCAAGTTCCTGATCCAGAAAGACCCAGTCCCGAACCCAAAAATTCACTTGTTTTTGTTTGAAGATCTTCCACTAGAGATTCTAAGAGAGCTGACCGAGTTCTCAACTGAAATAAAATATTAATTATTATTAAACTTGTATAAAATTGTTGATAATAATTAATTTGATAGCTCAAAGTTTATAAAAACTTATCAACAAAACTGAAAAACTTTAAGAATTTACTTTTATTCAATATCGATCTACAACAATCCCGAGATTTTTAAAAAGTTTCACTTTTAAAAGTTACTTATATTTTTGCTATAAACTAAAGTTTCAAAACAATGATATCATCTCTTCGACCAAACTTAAGACTTTTCGTTAATATTTTCACAAAGACTTATTGGACTAATTGTTTGCATATAATAAATGTTCAGAGAGCTCTGCAGATACTTCTTGCCGTAATTCTATTTATTGCTGTTTAATTTTCACGGAATGAAGAGTGAAATAGTTATGAAGCAATATTTCTATCGAGTTTTAATGCTGAATAAGATTCTCGGATTTAGTAAGGACGCTCACCTCAAGTTTCGCAAACTTTTCCGCCTTGTAAGCGGAGTTCTCTGCATTTACGAGTTTCGTGAGCAAAAACTCTTTGAACTCGACGCCCCGAAGAAAGACCGCAGGCGTTGGTAACGCTGGTCCGAACCAGGGAACATCATCTCTGGCTGTAATGCTTACTTTGTACCTAAATGAATCAAAGAAAACACAATTAGTCCTTATTCTTTCCTCACATTTATCGGATTTCTTTTGTAATATTTTTTTTCTATTCTTTTATTTTCAGCAAATACTATGGCCATCTGCATAAAAGTAAATACCTTGTATTAGGTGAGCAAGGGTCGATGACTTGGACTACGATAAAAGCATGAAGGAAGTGACTCGCAATCATATCAGGACTAAATGGTGTTGGCTCCTCTTGGAATATTATAGCTACGATGTCGTTACCGATATGTCGCTTACGTTGTAGTTGTTGAGAATCTCCAGGACTATAGGGGAGCAATGAGGCAACATGGAAGAGAACTTCACGACCTCGAAATACTTCGTAAACTGCTGAATCGCCTGTTTGACCATGTCTCGTGTCTAGACCACCTCGATACCTGATGAGACAAGTACGAAAGTCATTTTTTCATTCTATTATAATTAAAACTAGACACGTCTTCATTTCTTTTTTTCAATCCAAAAGATGATTAAAAATCAATTTTACTCTAGATATTAACTATTACATTTTTAGAAAGTTTCATTGAGGCAATCTTTTAATTACTAAAAGGTTTTTGTTTTTGTTTCGACTGTTTATTTTCTTCGAATTCATGTCAATTAAGGTTAATTGATTTTTTAAATGGCTTAGTAATGAAAAAGTGATTTAATTTTTTTTATAAAACTTATTCTCACCCTTTATGATCTTTTAGGTCTATTTTTTGTCCTAGTAAATCTAAGAATTCTTGAAAGGCCGGCGTTATTTGACGATTGCCAAATAATTGCTCTTCAGTAACTTGTCCAGCTCGTTGATGCAGTACACCAAATTTGAATCTGCTCACCAAAGCATGTTCGTCATAACGAGCAATTAGAGTACCAGCACCCGAGCAAACAACTGGCATCAATGTACTGACATTGAGAGATTCATTAATCGCCTGAAATAAAAAATAAAAATAGAAGTAAGGATAAACATTTTATTATTATTGTATCTTATCAAAGAAAGCAGTAGTAATTACGTATATTCAACAAGGTCTTTCCTTTTTTACTATGCCGGATGTTAGAGTTGATATTATTTATTACGCGATTGATTATAAACACACGTAATTCATAAGTATCAATTAGTGTTTTTTTTTTAAATGAATATGTAAGGTTGTTGAAAATTAAATTTTTTCAAGACATAAATAAATCAATTTGTTATGAACGGATAAAAAAATAATATTTTCTAATGTTTTTAAATATACTAATAAATTAAGTACCTTGACCATTTTTGCTGGGGACGGATTTGGACCAAGATTAATTGCTGGAACAAGTTCATGAGTTGATCCAGCTCGAATACGAAGTAATACTCTCCAGTGTTCTTGACCAGCTACAGTTTCTGCTTTTATCGAGACTAAAACCGGCCCATTTTCAGAGTCCCTGCCCACAAGATTCACATGCTCCTGCAAAAAAACAAGTACATGAAGTTCGATGAACACATGTTGCAAAAAATGATCAAAAAATATATATTCTCAGAGTAAAAGAGATCCAATTAATGACCTGTAGACGTTCTTTTAATGTTCATATATTTTTTTGTGAATAATTTACGTCATAATTGTACGAGCAAAAACACAGGTGTTGTTCTGGAGTTTCTAAAAAATTTAACAAACATTCTTTCATACCATTGCGGTTTATTTTCTTTTACTTTTATGATGCTCGTGAACTTGAGCTATTTTTCAGGCATTTCATTAAATGAGCGCAGAGTAAATTAGGAATATGTTATAACAGAAGAAAATAACACTTGTAAATTTATGATAAGATTGTTATAGAGATGTAAAAAATTATACATAATTGTTTTTTATTTAAATTAACAAAAAAAACAATGATAAACAATGACAAACATCTATTCATTATTTATTAATAACTAGGTACTGTTATATAATATAATTAAATATTCCATTCCAATCAATAGAATATGATATTCTAACTAATGAATTTTTCTTTGTTTTCATTTAAGTAATTATCAACTCTCCATTACTTGATGATGTAGCGATAAAAGTATTATTAAAAAAATTTGCTATTGAATCTTAATTAAGATTCTTAATTAAAACCTCAAGAATTGATGAGCTTAACTGTATTATTTTAAAAACAAATTCAAAAGTTGTGTGAACTTTTAAGAAGTGGGTTAAGAAATCTTTTGTAACAGACATTATCTAAGAAATTAATTGATCCGGAGAAACTTTTCTGTATGAAAATATACACTCACAATGCTTGGAAATGCATAGCATGGAATGAAAAAATATAATTTTTAAAACAGATTAGATACTGATACATAATTTAGAAAAGATTATATATTATTTATCAGTTGATTTTATTCCTACGGAAGTGGTTGTATAGTTGCGTCAGTCTAGTTACCATGTTATATGTCTATGAACTAGGTATGTACTGCAGAGGTTGCACTCGTTGTGCGTGCATGCATGCAATATGCGTGCCTATTGTCAACGATAGCCCGTGAGGTACGTTTAGAGCAATAATATTGTATATTGGGGTTACACGGACTGATGATGAAGTATCTAAGTATTTGCTGTACTGCATATAACCTTGTATTAAAAAATTAATGAGTAGAACTTTCTTTTTTTTTTTATATGAAATTTTATTATGCGAACAATCTATTTCCGAATTTATTCAAATTCAGCGAAATTATTGTCCCTCTTTTTTGTTAATTAAAGGACATAGTAAACTTTAATACCATTTTTTAGGTATTCTAATTGAAAAAAAAATAAATAAGAATGTGGATAAAATTTTTACTAACTGTAAACTTCATTTTTAAAAACTTTTAAAGTAAGCGGACTATTCTTTTAGATTAAATTTTTGTTACCAAAGCTTTTATTATTACTAATAAAAAAATATTTACAAACATAATTTGCTTGATTAAAATGGCCTAGATTGTTTAATAACTTTCTATTGTCAATGAAATGAGCAAAAAAAGTGTTAATAAGTGTAATGAGATTAAAAATTTTTTAATAAATTATTTTACTATCGAATAAACATATTGCATCCGGATGAAAAAAAAAATTTTTTTATCCTAAAACTGAAACTGAAATAGTCAAGAAACCTATTTCGTAAAAAAGGTATTTTTAATTCAATGATAAGAGTGTTATCAACTACTGCTCAATTATTTGTTGTTATTTGTATAAAGTTTACTAAAAAATTTCTGTATATTCTGTATAAGTATGTAATCCTTCTTTCATCTTTATCGATGTACTTAATTTTTAGAAAAATAACTATGAGATCATGGATTTATAGAAAATAATTATGATAAAACATGTATAATAGCTAACAATACATGTAGGCTTTACATAATCGTTAGTATAAGTTAATAGAAAATTGATGTGCAGTTAAAAAGATAAGTAAGGCATGTAGGAAAAATGGTAATAGTTGATGCATATAAATGTATTGAACTAATAACTGAGTTATTATTTAATCAAGGGTCAATAGAAGGTTTGATACAAAATACTAACAATAATTATTGTTGTAACTTATAATGAACGAATGTCAATATGAAAGAGAATGTGAAGAGCCATCTCTTCTGTATCTTACTTCTTCTAAGTCAATCGATTTGAAAATATTCACCATCTGGAATACGTATACACATTCCAGATCGAAAGCTTCAGGGTAATTCGAGGTGTCAGATACACTCTGGCTTAACTTGAAACCACCAAAACTACAAGACATTTTGGCTTCAGTCCAATTTGTATATTTTAAACATCCGAATTGGAGACCAGCATCGATTATCCAGTTTAACTCAAAAAAATATAAATTCTACTATGAAGAAAAAATGAAATAAAAATATTTCAAATAAAATCGGCCTTTATCTTTCTATAAAATGCCGAGATAAACTCTCGATTGGTTGCATTTGGCAAAAATCCAGTCAAATATTTTACTGATCAATTTTTTTGTCTTTTTCATTCACGTGATAAATACGGTGAATTTAAAGACTAGAATGCAAACCGTGTAAATCAAAGTTGTTTGACGAATAGTCGTTGATATTTTTATCAAATAATAAAACAAGATTGTAAAACTGGTTTATTATTTGATGATATAATTTTCGACTTTGAATCAATAAATTGACTCAATTTACGCTGAATATATATTAAAAAAAAAAAACCATCTCTGGGGTCCACGAAAATTTAGAATCAAGTAAAATATTCAGACAATTTTGAAAAAGATAGATATTCCATATAAAAGTTATTCAAATGCAATATAGCATATAATTCTATATAAATAGTGTGCAGAAAATGCACTATGGATTTTCTAGTTCAGTATACTTGAACTATACATGTAAATGTTTTTCAAAATAATAATTACCATGTTTTATTATTGAACCAGGTCTATGTCATAGAATAGATGAAGTAAATTGACATATGTGAATTTTCAGCTAAATGATTACATCTTTGATGTTTAATTTAGAGCGAAAGTTTTTAATTAAGTTTTTTTTAAATACTGTGAAGCTATACAGATTCTAGCACATGTTGATTCAGCACACTCAAACATATCAAAATAATTATAATGTATTTGAATATGTAATCTACAATATCACGGTTAAATGATTCCATGCAATATATTCATCACAAAATCTTATACAAAAACCTCTGTAAGAAATTGACTTGCATATATATATAATAAAAGTTAATTTATGATTAATATAATCTCTAATAAAACATATCTATCAATGAATATATTTCCATGCAGTGAATTCTTAGATAAAATTTGTGAATGGAAATTAAAGTTGAATTTAAACTTCGTTTATAGAATTATTTATTAAAATAAAGAGAAGATAGCTATTGTTGCATAATAAGATAGCTAATTAAGCGGTCACTACACAGCACTACACTTTTGCAGCTTTAATTAGATAAATTCGAATGTTTTTTGTATAATTAACTACTTTTTGTGCTTCATGTTTTATTAAACCACGTAGAGAAATTTCAAATGTAATCCTTATTATTAATAATTTTTATCAAAATATTTTATGGCTAAATATGATATAAAGTTTAATTAGACATTGAGCACACTTTTTTTTTGGAAATTCATTTATATGATTATTTATTATTGCTAAACCAATTGTCATATTTAATTAATTTCCATTAATTTATTTGCTAAAAATAATAAATTGTATCTGGCCATAAAAGGTACATCTACCCTATCCCAACATTGAATTGATTGTGACATGTTTTTATCACGAAATAACTTTATTTTTAGAGTTTATTATGTTTTTTGTGTTAATATTGACCTTTCCAAGCTACATTTCGTCTAGATTCATTTTTAATGATATATTAGGAACATTATTTTACTCTTGACTCAGTCAATTAATCATTTATATCGCTGGGACGTCAAAATAAAATTTTTATTAAACAATTTCCTCCATCTCTGATGCCACTATCATTTATTTAATTAATTGATATTATTTATGGTTATTTTTGTTACAAAAATTTTAATTGTAATTATTTATTCGATAATAGGAACAATTTTAAAGGACGAAATGTTATTTGTATTATCAACTAATTGAGCCTAATGTTTCCTAGCAATTTTTAAAGTAGAAAATAATTGGATAAATGTAACAATGTACAACATACTGAATAGTATCGAACGCAAGTGTGTAACGATCATGCTTTGGTCATTAAAAGATCTCGCGTGCTCCATTGAAATCGAGGATATAAATTATTGCAGAAAGCAATGAAAAAAAGCAGGACATGAAGTACAAAAAGCAATGAAATGAAATACATGTAAAAAATATGTGTGACAGAACAGACATTTGCTCTTCGTTTACAGAAAAAACATATAATTATGTGTTGGCTTTGCTAAATACTCTTGTTCACGTACATCTTTTTCTTCTTTTGTTAGCATTTATGCCTCTTTTTTCTAAACTCTTCTTCTCGTGTCTCATCATTATTTCAACAGAAATAATTCTTTCAAGTCGATAAATCAGTCTCTAAAATGATTAAAGTCAAACAATAATCAATATTTTTCGTATTCAATTTCTTTTTACTCTCTTTTTATCTAAGAAAATATTTCTTATTCGAATTCTTGCAGTGCAATGTAATAAAAAATTTTATTTCAAGATCGAAATATATGTTTTGTTTACACACCATCTCGACTGTCTCATTTCTTTCTTTTTATTCAAGTCTATTTTTTGCTTTATATACGTGCACCGATGCAGTGCAGTCTGTCAGAGCGTGAACTGTAAACTTATCAACGACAGACGCCGACATATTTATTATATGATGGGCCTTTGAAGCCCCAAGTGAGTTACCGAAACGTAACACGTTACATGATATGTAAGGAAAATTCTCTACAAGTTTCAAACCCTTAGATTATATTATTTCTTTTTACTTTTTCTTTATTTTGCTACTTTTCTTTCGACTTTTTATATTATCTTTTGCTACTTTATTTTCATCTAATTTTTGTTTTTCAACTTTCTGACTACTTGAACCTCAAAATCCGCTAAATTATTCTGCATTATAACTCATTTTTTTATTATGAAGTACCCGCCTGAGGATAACACGATTATTTATCACCAAAATTATTATAAAATATTATTTCTTCAATAATAAAGCTTTTTATGCTTATTTGGAATAGCTTTTGCTTCATCTTCAACGTTGTTTGGCTCATTAAGAAATGAATTAAATAATGTTTTCATTCATTTTTGTATATGGTTTCAGCAATAATTTTTCTAATTAAAAAATACATATTCTTTAATTAATGTCTTGAGAAAATAACTATTTTCTTAATGAAAAAAAAATGATTTGTTGCTATAAAATTATCAAAAAATACTCAATTAAAAAAAAAATCATTAATCAACATCTCATTATCTCTACATCTCTAATTACAACTTATTTTTATCCTCTAACTTTCTGACAACTTAGACATTAAAATTCCCTTAGACAATAAATAATTGTATATAACAATTCACTTTTCTCTCATAAACAATTTAAAACAAAAGATTATCTTTTAATTCGTTAAATAATTAGTTCCAAGTAATTTTCATTACTTAACGAAAAATAAAAAGAATATCTATAAACATTATAATTAGATCCTGACGAAAAATTAACTAGCTTTAAACATTTACTTAACTCCAAGGATAATTGATAGAAAAGATGCCGTAATTATTATCTTAATAATATTTGACGCTTTACACCTGATGGTGTAATATAATCTTGGTAGGCATTCCCCTCTATTGGAAATTAATTACAGTGGTAACGAAATTAGTAGGCTTTCGCGCGTGCTTTTAGTTGCAATGTGTCGAGTGTTAACTGGTAAAAGAGGCAATGGAGAACAAGATCATTGTCCCAGACAGACAAAGTGAGAGAAAAACAAGACTTAAAAAGATGAAAAAAAAAAAGAAAACCAGAACAAACGGTTCTTAAAGTGCAACGGCAGTTGCATTTTGCTCTATAGAGTTTCTTCGCGAGGCTACTTGAGTGGATGAAAAGGACGAAACAGTGCAGAAATATTCAAGGGAAACAGGTAAGAAGGGTCTGTATAATAAATGAAGATACATAGATGGTAACTGGAGAATGTATGAGGAGAGGGAGAGATGCAGAAAATTTTCATGGAGAATCCCCTCTTGTCCCCGACCCATTCACTTCAGACTTTAGCGAACCTTATTAAGGGTATAGCTGAGGTGTATTCAGTCAGGAAGGGACGAAGAGAAAGACTGAAAGAAGGGAGAGGTGAACAGACTATGAGAACGTTCCCACTCCCACGCAAAGAGTGCTCTTTTCTTGCGTATCTTGTCCAAGCTTGTGTATGAACATGACGAGATCTTGAAACTTTGGCATATTTGCAAACACTTTTGGACATTTCTTCATCAATTGATTCATTCAACTGTTACCTAAGTACGGGGCCTTATTTTTATTCTAGGTAAACTAACTTTTAATCTAATTTTTGTCTTATTGTATTCACTTGGATATGATCCTGAACATGATAAACTGTTATCAGAGTTCTATAAATTATTTAGAATAAATTTCAATCTTGCCTTTTCTTTTATTAATTCGGTATCTGTTTTTGATGTCATAGATTCTAACTATTTCCACTTTTGAAAATTACTTTGAAATATTTATGTCTCTATTGTATCTCTTTTAATGAAAAATTATTCGAATTGTCTCTTTGACGTCAAAAACGTGTGGATTGTTCTAGAATACTTTTCATGTAAGTGGCGTACTAATACTCTGAAAGTACAATCTTTCAACTCCATTGCTTTTATTTTTCATTTACATCTGTTTTTCACTTTCAAAACCCATTCAACGAGATAGAATTAAAAATCTTATTAATATTCGTCATTTAACGTCACAATAAAACAACCTCATAAACATGCATGATAATGTAAATACATTTTTGAATATAAACAATATAATAAATTTTGAAAAGACCATCATCATCTTTTCATCAGTCTATTTCTCCTGAAATGCGGCATTTCAAAGATTCCGGACCACCAGTTTTTCTGCAAGTCAAAGCTTGTTTCTGTGTATTTATGCATCGGTTGATTTTTGGTGGATAGTTTTCGATGCATCAAAGCCTAGTCTTTAAAGTATAAACCCACCTGAAACCCACGCTCTTACTTAAGAATATTTCATGTGGGCGCAATCCTGATCTTTGTTCTATGATGAATCGATCGTTGATGACACAGTTGAAAGAACAAAGACGAGTGTCAGTTTCTAAGTCTTTCTAGACTCTGGATCTTTAAAGTTCGTTAACATTTGTTTGAGTGGCCGTAGGGAATAGCAATACTATGCGTTCCAAGATTAGATACAACGTAGGCTCGAGGACATGTTTATAGAAGTGGGGAAGTTTCTCGTATTCGTCAAGCCGCACCTCTACTCCTATAGCCTGATGGATATGGTGATAGAGAAGTGGCCACTGAATATGCGGACATTAAAGCACTAGGAATAGCACAGAATTATCCAACAGGAATATGTACCCAGTTTCCATTTGAACTTTCCCAACTCTGTGATCCTTCCCATCATTGGGTTTCACCAGCAGTTTAACCTTCCAATTAGCTTAATTAGTCTAACAAACACTGGTCCTTCATTAGCTTATTCTGCCGTAAGCATTAAACTACTGCATGAGTTGTAAATAAACTTAAATTTGCCCAGCTTAAGTACACATCCACTTTTGATATATTATTAGATACTGGTTCAAAATTATGATGAACTTAGTATAGAAGTTATGAATTGAACTTTCTTTCTAAAGTCATCGATTATGTATACTTTTATACTGTTTAGTTATTGAACACTTTATGCGGAGCTATTTTATTGTTTAATTTTTGCTTTAAAATTTTCAATATATAATTTCTTTGTAAGAGTTTTCGAGTGAACATCCGTAAATATCGAAAGAAGAGCTTCAAGTATGAATTTTAGAAAAGAAAAAAAAGAAAAAACTCGAGTTGAATTATTAAATTTAATAAGCTACAATTCATAACACTTGAGTTAGATAAAAAATGTTTATGAATAAATAAAATTTAATTAATCAATAAATACTTTTATAATTCATTATTATGATTCTATGAATCTATAAAATGTTTTAATTAACTATTTATTCTGATGAAACCCTACAAAATTTTTTTTTTCATTGCGATAATACTTAATACATTTTGTAATTAACCAAAAAAAATTAAGTCTATTTAAAAGATATACGTCTAACTGCTTATCAATATTTTGATTCAAGGTTCAAGACAAAATTATTCATCTAAAGTGATAAGCGGAAATTTATAAGAGACAAGAGTCGAAGTAGCTGTGATCATCACTTAAAAATTCTCCAGCTGGACGATAATTTAATTTATGGTGAAAAAAGAGGTCATCAAATCTCTTTAACCCCTTGATCATCATCTATATTCATGAATAATTACCCTTCCAACGAAAAACCGTCGATAACACTTGGCTGTATCGTCCTGATCGATTCGTGGCTGCCAGGCTGGTTGTGTTGGAAGCATCGCTCTGCCAGCTGAATCGAGGGCGTGACGATGATCGGTACCATCTACCCAATATCCCGGCGGCGTCACAACCATAGGAGGTTGTTGCTGAGAGCAGCTATTCGCTTGCTGGATAGCTGCTTCCATCAGGGCACGTCCCAAGGGTGCATCTCCAACTGGCGATGGCGATGGAGACGGTGTGAGAGTTTGATTACCAGGACTTGAAGCCTGTCGATCATCTCTTGAGGCCTGAAATCATAATTATACCAATCATTTATTTAATGCATTCTCAACTGGCCAATTTCCAGTAAATAAATATGTCAAGATGTTTTTTTCCAATCACTAGAACAATTTTCTACAACATTCCTAAGTAAACACACCTATAAATATTGAATATCCTTTATTAAACCAAGATATCGATTTTCCTGTAATCATATGGGTAATATACATATATATATATATATATATATATATATATATATATATATATATATATATATATATGTACATAAAATTTATGGAGACTATACTTTTGGTGGAAATACAAATTTTACTTTTCTATATGTTACTTAGATGGAAGAAAAATAGTATAAGAAATTGATTATAATCTTAATTTGACATTAGAATTAATATTTGTGATGGCGAATATAATAACAAATTGGAAAATTTATGTTGAAATATTCAAGGGAATAGAGTCAAAATATATTATCCAAATATACTAAACCACAGTGGATCTGATTAAAATGCACATATTCTCTGGATAAATTCACTAAAATTAACGGAAATACACATATTGAAGGGGACTAAACGCACGGTATGTAACGGAAATATGTAGTTATAATGAAATCGATTCAACTGAAATTGGTCTATGCTGTATAACAATAGATAACAACTCCCAAATATTTTCACTAAAGTATAATTCAACCATCTGCTATATTGGATAAAATAAATAAACCAGCTTTGAAGTCATTAGATCGATTTTTGAAAAAAACAAATCCATAAAAAATTTCCACTTCAATTATCCTTCGTCATCTGCTGGCTTTTATCATTTTTATTTTATTTCAACCATAAATTGTAATTAATTAATTTTATTGCAAAAATCAGTTACATTCATGACATTTAATTGAATTAAAATTTCTATATAACTCGAGTTAAAAATAAAATGAGACATGAGGAATTCTGTTCTGAGAATGAAAAAAAAGATATCTGGAAGTCTTAAAGAAGAAGCAGGTGTAGAAGACAGGGAGTAGTTCATTTCTCTTGGTTTCCGGATTATGCAGGTCCTGAAGCCACAAACGGACATTCGAAACATGCGTTGCACTCAAGTCGGAGGTTAAGGGAACGTTAATAAGACCAACTGGTGTATATCTCTAGCAGGTGGTATGTAGAGAACCCACGAAATATTGATACACAACCACTTCTAGGGTTCTCGTGGTATTCTAAGTCATTGTAAGGATTTAATAACTTCGTCTGAACATGTCTATAGCTTTGTTTCTAAATATTTCAACGAGACTTTATTCAAAACTGTCAACACCAATTAAATATGGTTGAATAAATGTAAAAGCTTGTAGAACTCTAGTAGACTAGACCATTTGGCTTTTGATAACTCGACCCTTGATATGATGGACAAGTTGACAGACGTTTTAATTGGTATTTCAAAAAAGAATTGCCTAGTTAATCGGGAAATTTATTCTAAATATAAATCTCATCCTCTTTTTCGTTTCATTCTCCATTTGTGCTTCCTGAAAAGTTGCGTACCATACGTTCGGTTTATATTTAGAGAAGAGAAGTGTCAGAGAGTGGAGAAAATCTTGCGAAGAGCCAACATATCTTGTGTGTTTTTTCTAGTCTTTCTCAATACTCGTTTTTGACTTATTTTATTTCCTATTTTTTTATACTCAAATTTAGAAGCACTTAAATAAGTGAATAAGCTATATACACTCCCAGCTACTACAGGAAGGGAAGTCTTTGAGGTTTCTCTTAGGGATATGATGTTGTTCTACATACTATGGAAGTTGAAGTCACCATGAGTCGACATTGAAGACTTTCAAGACGAATTAAGTAACATGAGCCTCATTTGGTGTGTCATGGTATATTTATTAGATAAAACAGTAATATTTTAGGAGATAAAAAAAATTATTGAAATATGTTAATTCAACTTGGACATAACAAATGAATTATTTATAGAAAATCTTCTAATCACTAACATAAATATTTTAAAGATTTTTTTATTTATTTTAACTATCATTATTAATAACTAATAATTAAAAACTGTCTATTTTTCTATGCTTTTCGCTAAAAATAAATTTAAATAATATTCAGATTTATTGAAGAAGATAAAATAACGAAAATAGTATCAAGCTATTATATGGCAGAGTTAAAAATAAATTCGATCTTTTATCAACGATATGATGCCCTGGTTGATGCATTTCCAAAGTTATAAAATATTAAAACAACATAGTTTTCAACAATACATGTGTCAATGAAAGTAATTGAATTGTTGATATAGATAAAATATAATTCCATAGACAACTAGTTTTCAATGTTTATCTTTCAGCGAAAAGTGTAGATTTATTGATGTTTGACATTTAATGTTCATTATTAATAAAAATAGCCTCGGAATTGAAATGACGAAAATATAATCAACTAATAACTGGTAGTTCTATTAATGAAAATTGACGATAACTTATCAAGGTTGAAAGTTTTAGTCATTTATGTTTTTCCAACTTTTTAACGAAGAAGCAACTTAATAGCTAATCATCGTTTGATCATTTACCACTTTACTTATGGAACTTTTTATTACTCAGCTATAAATGAAGTAAGCTCTAATAAGACAGTTGGTAGGTAGAATAATGATAATTACTCAGCAAATAATGTTGGAACATTATAATGTAAAATGAGAAAACATTAAAAAAATCAATTACTAAAAAAATAATTCCTCAAGTTTTATTATTTCTCACATGAAATTTTTAGTAGCATTTCATATCTTCGAGACATCAATTTAGTCGTTATGGATCATATTACGATCGTAAAAATACAATTTTCTTTGCTCATAATAAAAAGAGCCTGTCATATCAGCCACAATTCATTTCTCACTATTTTAATGCTATTGTAGATATTCAGAGATAAGTTTTATGGGTCAGTTGCTTATAACAAAATGCTAAATGTATGTTGATATTATATGCTTTTGAACAAATTGAACCAACGGAAATGTAAATATAGAAGAATTAGGATTGACATTTGAATCTGCCGGAAATAAGTAACCAGTGAATGAGGTAAATGAATTGAAATCAATGGCAAATGGATTTTAAATTGAAACTCCAGAAAAATTATGACCCTGAAATTTAGCAGCAACTTGAATGAAGATTGACATGTGATGAAATTTTTTTTAGGTTTCATATAAAGAAGTATCAATTAATAAAAGTTTAACGTTTAGATTGTTATAAAATTCATTTTTTGTTTTAAATACAATGCTTCTAGAGTGAATGCCAATATGCATTTTTGCAAGGTTAAAATTTTCTATGAAGCGTGGAAAAAATTTCTAATCAATATTGTTGAAACACTTTCACCAAATATTTATAATAAAGACATCCAGCTATTAAAGTTAGACTATTTTCAGCCGATGGCCATTAATTTTATTTTGAAAAGTTTCTTTGTTAAAGCTAATCTTTTAGCTCCAAAAATTGTTGTTTTTCTGACAATAATTATTAATGATCAGCTTGTCCCATTTTTGTCAAAGTAGGCCAATGACTCAATTAATGTGTACAAGTGATAGAAATATGCGCTATAAGAGTATCAAAATTATAGATTTTATTGTCAACTTTATTATTATTATTTTTTATTTATGTATTTTGTTACTGTAATTGAATAAAACACTTAATTACAGAAATGAGCTCAGCGAAATTACCGGACGAGAAGTTTTCTCATCCGAATAATGGAAGCATAGATATATCTTTGAAAACAATATCACGATGAGGTCGTGAAGTAAGAAGTAAAGTGAATGCGCGTATTTCTTAAGTTTTATGTTTGCCATTAGATGATAGTAAATATGATATTGATGAGAAATGATGAATAATATAAAATAGTTTGCGGTAGATATAAATAAATACATTATTTGAAAACGAGAAAAAAGTATTGAGGAAAGTTGAGTGTGATGATTGTATAGAATATAGATATAAGACTATCATGATGGAGAAATAAAAGATAACACATACTGACGTGGTGTTAAAGGGAAAGGGGACGAAAGAGAAACCAGAAGTTGTGGAGCAAAAGATTTCTTTCTCTTTCTCCTCTACATGCAATTCAGTGACTCATCTAGTACGTGGGCGTGTAGGAAATGCTTGATCGGACGTGCACAATTCACATGGGGTCTTAAAAACTAACGGGATAAGACTTTAGCACGAGCAAAAGTGCTAGCTTCATCATGGAAAGTTTGATTTTCATTGAAACGTTGATATTATGCTGCTAGAAGTTTATTAGTTCATTTTTGCTTTTTTTATTGCAAATATTTATTTTTTAATTAAGATTGAGGATGTTTTTTTTATTAATATTCAACAGTTATTTTTTGTGTATTTATAGTAGCTTATTTATAAGAATATTTTTTATTAAAATGCTATTAATTTTTATGAGAAAAATTTACATTTGAAGTCAAAAAGTTGAATTTTTTTTCTGTAATGAGTTTTTATTTTATTATTCCATTTAAATAAAAAATTAATTAACATTGAGCAAAGATTATTTAAGATACTTAGACATGAAAGTCATCCATTTTTAATGAAATTTTTTTTTCTTTTGTTTATTAGAAAAAGTTTTTTGATAAAAACAATTACTTTTTATAAAAAAATTAATCTTTTAATAAATGAATGAAGGATAATATTTCTACTGTGTATACTTGAGAACTTTTTGAAAATTATTTCATCAATTTTTTCTCAAGTTTCATTAACAACTTTTTTATTTATCATAATTAAAGTGATTTATATTAGTAGCTACAAGATGTAACATATTTTTTGTAGTCTGTATCCAATTACATTGCTAAAGAAGAAAAATAAGTCTATATATAGAGCGTGAAATTATTGTGAGTTAGATGTACTTTAGCCCCTAAGCTGTAAGGGTAACTTTGTTCAGGGCTTAAAAATGTTTTATTCACACTGTTTAGCTCAGTATACGTTCCATTAAAAATTTTGCAGTCTTCAAAGTAAAAAACAATAGGAATTGTTTAAACAAAATAATGAAATTTTTCATTAGAACTTACA